AAGGCCCGGGTGGGGAACATCATCTGTTTTGATGCTTAGGTTCCGTGAAGAAGGGGCAGGTGTATGGAAATGTGGTTGGACCCAAGGACATGGCCAACCGGTCATAGACCAAGGGGAAGGCCAGCCCGCTCTGTGCAGACCTCCACGCGCTCTTGTGTTGCATTCCTCCTCCCTGCCCCCGAGCTGTGGGCTGGGACCCTTCCGCATTGGGGGTGTTCCAGGGAACCTGGGCTGACCTTTCTGGGTTTTGTGGCTGTCTGCTTTCTGGGGCCCACGTTGGGGAAGAGGCTTTGTGGGTTGTGTGACTCACTGTGGAGGAGAATGACAGGCAGGGGACCGTCCAGCAGTCCCTGTGTGTGAGATCTTCCAGTGCCCTCCAGGTCCAAGTTCTCTGTCCCTGCCAGGACACCATTTGGGGGGCATCTTCTGGAGAGCCCCAGGAGTGCTGACGTATTACTGAGATCTGTTTATAACTGAAATTCATGGGCTCTTTAATTCCTCCAAAGGGCCAGCACTGTGGTACAGTGGGTAAACACCCTTGCCTGCAGCATCAGCATCGCGTATGGGCGCTGGTTCAAGTCCTGGCTGCTCCGCTTCCCATCTAGCTCCCTGCTTGTGGTACGAGAAAGCAATAGGGAATAGCCCACAGCCTTGGGAACCTGCAGTTGTCTGGGAGACCCAGAGAAGTTCCTGGCTCTCGGCTTCTGATCGGCTCAGCTCCAGCCATCTTGGCCATTTAGGGAATGAATCAGTGGATGGAAATCTTTCTCTCTGTCTTTCCTTCTCTCTGGAAATCTTCCTTTCCAATAAAAACAGATCTTCCCAAATGACAGGATCTTGCCACTCGATACTCCTCCACACTTACTCAAGTATATGGACTTTTAATGCTTACATTATATAGGTGGATGTGAATTAAACACAGCATCACGCTTGCTCTTGGCCAGAAGGCCGAGAGGCGATGATTAATCACAGCATCAATGTGATACTCACACGTCTCTTTTCCCTTTCAGGTTTCTATTTTTACTCCAATAAAATATCCCAAGACAATGTTTGTCTGCAAAAGGCTCTCTTCTTTAACCTGTCTGCCGTGCATGAAAAGGAGCAGCTCACCATGGCCCAGCTGGGCCTGGACTTGGGGCCCAACTCATATTTCCACCTGGGCCCCGCCCTGGAGTTGTCTCTGTCTATGGTTCAGGAGCCTTACAGGTGGGGCCGGTCCACACCTAAGCCCGGTAGAAGCCTAGCCTTGCAGTCAGTGCCGTGGCCTCAGGGGACCCTCCGCTTCAACCTGCTGGATGTGGCCCAGCACTGGAAGAACAACCCCGGGAAGAACTTGGGCTTGCTTCTGGAGATACTGGTCAAGGACGACAGGGATTCCGGGGTTCACGTTCCCCTGGAGGACACCTGTGCCAGACTGAGACGGTCGCTTCACGCTTCCCTGCTTGTGGTGACCCTCGATCCTCAGCAGTGCCACCTCCCTCCCCGACAAAGGCGGGCAGCCATCCCCGTCCCCAGTCCTTCCTGCAGGAACCTCTGCCACCGCCACCAGCTGTTCATCCACTTCCGGGACCTGGGCTGGCATAAGTGGATCATTGCGCCCAAGGGGTTCATGGCAAATTACTGCCATGGGGACTGTCCTTTCTCACTGACCACCTCCCTCAACAGCTCCAGCTATGCCTTCATGCAAGCTCTGATGCACACAGTGGACCCGCAGGTGCCCCAAGCCGTCTGCATCCCCACCAAGCTGTCTCCCATTTCCATGCTGTACCAGGACAACGATGACAACGTCATCCTTCGCCATTATGAAGACATGGTAGTTGATGAATGCGGGTGTGGGTAGGATGTCAAAATTTGGAGAAGAAGGAGTGCTCTTGATGGCAAATCTTCTAATAAAACAACCTAGATGGCTTCTGGCTTCTTAGATCTGGAGTGTCGATTCGCCATAATTAATGGTGACCCTGGTAGAGAGCAGGTGCAGCAGTGGTTAATGGAAGTCCTACATTATGTCATTTCCCTACTCCAGCTTCCTGCTAATGTGAACGCTAGGGGGCAGCAGAGGATGCTTGGGTAGCTGGACTGCCTCCTACGGTGAGATCCAAATATTCTACCTCTTCTGTTGGGAGAGACAACTAAAATAATCATTTAGTTTCTCCTCTAATTCCAGTTGTCATCGCCTTAATCATCCTACTATTGCCTGGATTATTTTTATGATTTTTTTTATCCAGATTTGTTTATTCATTTGAAAGGCAGAGTTCAGAGGGGACACACACACAGAGGGAGAGAGATTCCATTCGTTGATTCATTCCCCCAGTGACTGCAGGGACCAGGCCTGGGCCAGGCTGAATCCACAAGCCAGGAACTTCATCCGTGTCTCCCACATGGTGCAGGGGTCCCAGGGCATGGGCCATCCTCTGCTGCCTTTCCAGCACGTTGATTAACGGGAGCTGGATGCAAGCCAGCACCCATGTGACATACCACTGTCACAGGCAGTGGCAAAGCTCATCATATGACAATGCTGACTTGAGCTTTGTTTTTTAACGATTTATTTTTCTTGGGCCTGGTGCGATAGTGTAGTGGTTAAGGTCCTCGCCTTGCACGCCCGGGATCCCATATGGGCTCTGGTTCTAATCCCGGTGGCCCCACTTCCCATACAGCTCCCTGCCTGTAGCCTGGGAAAGCAGTCGAGGACAGCCCAAAGCTTTGGGACCCTGCTCCCATGTGGGAGACCCAGAAGAGCTCCTGGCTTTGGATGGGCTCAGCTCCAACCGTTGCAGCCGCTTGGGGAGTGAACCATTGGAAGGAAGATCTGTCTCTCTGTGTCTCCTCCTCTCTGTATATCTGACTTACATTTCATACTAAGCTCATGTGTATGGCCCAGGAGGCTTTGAGGGTCAGAGTTCTGGGGCTCTAGCTTCGAGACCCTAAGGGGAGACTTGGGTCTTGAGAAGGTGACCTCAAATCGGAAGTGCATGTTGAGCCTTATGAATGTAAGGCTGGAACGTGATCCAAAGTTCAGGCAACAGAGGATCAGTGGCAGAAGGGAAGCAGAGCACTTACTTCTTTCAAGGAAGAGTAAAAAAAGTGGAGGAGTACTTGGGCATTTCCTTATCTGAGGCTTCTAGGAGGAAGAGAGAGCACAAAGCATCTGTGTGGCGACTCCCTGACTCACAGTTCCAGGCACAGTGCCGCTCCCATGTCAAACAGGGAGTAAGTGCTGAAGACTTGGCAGGTTACAGTGAGCAAAGGGCCACGACCCTGGTGTGGCGCGTGAAGCTACTGCCTGCCGTGCCAGCGGGCTGAAACGGCATCGAGTCCTGGCTTGCTCTATTTATTTATTTTTTTTGAAAGTCAGCTATACGGAGAGGAGGAGAGACAGAGGAAGATCTTCCATCTGATGATTCACTCCCCAAATGATACAAAGGGAGAGGAGACGCAGATCTTGTATCCACTGCTTCACTCCCCAAACGCCCAAAAGGGCAGAACTGGAGCAATGTGAAGCCAGGAGCGAAGAACTTTTTCCAAGTGTCTCACGTGGGTTTCTCCACAGCTTCCCCAGGAGCATTAGCAGGAAGCTGGATCTGAAATGGAGCAGCCGGGACATGAGCTGCTGCCCATATGGGCACCCACTGGCACCAGTGTGAGCTGGATAGTGGGGCTGGTTGGGTTGAACTAGGCTTCAATGCCCATTGACATGTATGAGAACTGAATGGGATGTGGGACAGACTGGAGCAGTCTGCTGTATATACTGGCAAGCATGGGAACCAGGGCAAGGATTGGGCCTGGTGTGGGTTATTGCGGGTCACTCCAATTGGGCTGCAGCTCCCACTGGTTTGTGTAAGGGCCGAGTGTGTGGTGGGCGGGATTGGGCTGGGCTCCAACACCCATTGGCTCGTGTAGAAGATAGGGCTGGGGCAGAACTAATCCAGCAATTACAACCACCAGTATATGCATAAGCTGGTTGGGGCAACAGACTGTGCTGGCCCCTGTACTGGCAAGCACACAAGAATCAGGTCTGCGATCACCTCAGACGAAGTTTCTTTGGGAATTTTCCCATCTGAACTGCTGAACTCAGAACCCCAAGCATGAAGAGAAGTGCAGGTTCCATGGTCTGACCGGGGAATGCATGTGTCAGAGCCGAGCCTCCTCAGTGGCTCAGACAGAGCAGTGGACAGCATATCCAGGTGCACAGGCAGGATATGGCAGTACACTGGACCCTGCAGAGGACACCTGGTACCATGACAGAGCTAATCACACAACTACCCCAGCCAAGTGATGGCAGTGAATACCTGGGCAAACGGAGACTCCAGAGTGGACTATGCCAGCCAGCGGTTTCTGGAGAGATTTCACCGTGCTTGGAATGGCAAGATCGGCAGCAATTCAGAACTGCTGACAGTTGAAGCTGCTTCAGCATGCCCTCGGAGCATGCCCCACATCGGGGACCCTGGGGTAGTTGGGAGGCTGGGTGTGGCTTCTCTCCTAGTCTCCCTCCTTCCACTAGATACAGAAAGGAAAAAACAGAATGTGGAAACAATGGTCTTACCCATTTTCTTGAAGCCCTTGACCCTTTGTACCCTAATCAACTATGCAAAGATCATCAAAATAATTAATAATAAGAATAAATTAATAATTATAGAAAAAAGTTGGCAAAAAACAGAAGCAAAAATATCTTTAAAAAGTAAAATAAAAAATAATGCTTTTTCAATTCTGATGTCACCATAGACAGGATTTGGAACTTGGCATTCCCAGGGATCTACTGTACAGGCTTCCTGTTGCTGATACCATCAGCCTGTGATCGCCACTGATGGAGATCGCACACTTTCCTTGAGTTCTGCTAGCTGTCTGCACGGCTCGGATACCCGCTTCTGTTGCCTGATAGTCAGGAATGAGTCAGTCTCGTTCCTTAGCCTCGTGGAAGCAGTTGATAAGGGCCACACCCAAGAAACAAAGTCCAGGCGCCTGCTGGGAGATGCCAGCACGACTGCAGCTCCCGAGGAAGGAGCCCGGAGACGCACGGCATGGCTTCAGAGAGAGGTAAACTCGACCTGCTGCATGGTTTGGTGTTCTAGAACAGTGTCTGTGTGTGTCTGTGCGTGTGCCCTGCTTACGCTTGGGCCTTTGGGCATTTCCCAACTTTCCTATCACTAATCAGCATTAATGATAATATCATTAAACAAACTGTATGACGATGGCAAAGGATTCATATTTGTAAATAATGTTGACTACCTGAGTGCTTATCATACCAAAATAAGTAAAGGCACAGCAGCTAAAATTGAAGTGGTTGCACAGGAACAGTGTGCTAATTGGTAATTCATCTGAACAGGATTAATTGACTGGGTATTGTAAAGTTATTTAGTGTTAGAAAAATGAATGAGAGAAAGGGGAATGCTTGAAGCCATGGAAGGAAGTGACTTTAGTTAAGGTGGAGTTTGAACTGATCCTAAAGGAAGGGTAGAATTTATGTTCATCAAGAGGAGCAGGCAATGGAGGGCTCCTTTCCCTGAGGCCCTATGTATTACAAACCTTCATAAAATCACGCAGCTGGGGCTCAGTGCTGGGATCCTCTGTAGCATCAGTTTGTGTGCCGACTGCCTCACTTCCCATCCAGCTCCCTGCCTGTGGCCTGGGAAAGCAGCTGAAGACTATCCAAAGCCTTGGGCACCGTGCGCTTTTATGGGAGACCCAGAAGAAGCTCCTGGCTCCTGGCTTTAAGATCAACTCAGTTCTGGCCTTTACAGCCATTTTGGGAATAACCAACAGATGAAGGATCTTCCTCTCTGTCTCTCCTCTTTGTAAATTTGCCTTTCTAGTAAGAAAAAACCTTAAAAAAAAAGAAAAGCCACACAGGTATAGGTGCACACCACTTTAGGAGTGTGTGTTTAGTTATTCTGGGAGGTTCGTAAGAGTTAATTTGCATTTCCCTCTCAAACACCTCTTTTTACCATTCAAACATTTATTAAGCAGCAAAGGATACAAAGGTGATTTACAGTTAAAGAGATTGGCCATATGCACATGTAATAGAAAGCAATGTGCAAAGTTCACTGAGTGAGTGATCATTGCTCTGCCGTTGTCCACGCCCACAATGATGGACGTATGACTGTGTATAGGGGAACACGGTGAGGGGCAGGGAATTGGGGAGGGGATGAGGGAAATGTCACGATCTATGGAGCTGTATCATAACATGATGATGATGATAATAATAAAACCGGCAGCTGCTTCCAGCCTAGAAGGGGCAGCTCATGAAAGGGGGCTGGGCTGGGAAGAGAAGGCTTGGGAGTGCATTGCTGACGCTGCTCAGAAGCCACCATATTTGTTTCTCCTTTCCTCTCCCAATCTTTGGGCTTAATTTACCAGGGGTGCCCAGGACTGTTCAATTCGCTTTTTTTAGACTTGCATGTATTTTCTTTTGCTTTAATGTCTTCTACAGAACTGGGTCCTTCTGGTGTCTTTGGAGTTTTTTTCTGTTTTTTTTTTTTTGTATTTCAATGATTCTTGCCCTTTTGATCTTGGTGTCGATGGTTTGGAGTTTTCTCCATTCTGGTTTGATTTCTGCGCATCCTTGGCTGGCGTAGCTCGTACAGATGTCTTCACTGGAGTTTTTTCTTCATCTTCCTCATCAGCAAGCTTTATTTTTTTTCTGGGGCACCTGGCTGCCACTGTTAGGAGCACATCGCTTTCCAGACATGGTTAGTAACTTCACATCCTCCTCCTCTTCCTCCACAGCTGCTAAGTGTTGTCCACTAACGTGCACAGGTTCCAACCACACTTCAGTCTCAGGACCACAGGTGTTGTTATGTCAAAGCCCCCAGGGAAACTGTTGGCTGTGCAGACGTCTTCAAGGCTGCCAGTGTGGCTTGAATTGAACTGCCCTCATCACGCCTGCCTCTGCTTTACCAATGTGCAGCTCGTCCCTGGCACCGGCATCCGAGCTGACCATTCTCAAACAGGACCGGTGCTCATCTGCATCACTGTCCACTTCACAGCGATGATCTTTGTCAGCCTTTAGTTCCCAACCGAGGAGATAGCCCTGGGTCCTCGGGGGGGCTCATGTCCATCGAATCTTCCATGGGAAGTGGGATGAACTTGGGTGGGAGAGAAGGCAGACAGAGAGAGGACGCCCACTGCTGCAAAGAACAGCCGCACAGGATGGAATCACGCCAGGGAAATGCCTCTTTTTCAAAAATAGATCTTTAAAAAATATATGAAAGGTAGAACTAAAGATGGATCTTCACTTCCCTCACTGGCACATTGGCCAGAGCTGGGCCAGGCCGAAGCCAGATGCCGGGTACTCCGTCTGGGTCTCCCAAGGAGGCCAAGGACTTGGCCCACTTCGTGTTGCTTTTCCAGGTGCATTGGCAGAGAGCTGGATTGGAAGTGGGCAGCTGGAACCTGAGCTGGCGCTCATAGAGCAGACCAGGGTACCAGGAAGCAGCGTTACCCACTGTGCCACAACACCCGTCACCTCAAATACTTTTCTAAAAAAGATTTATTTATTTTTATTGGAAAGTCATATATACAGAGAGGAGGAGAGACAGAGAGGAAGATCTTCTATCCATTGATTCACTCCCCAAGTAACCGCAATGACTAGTGCTTTTGGGTCTTCCATGTGGGTGCAGGGTCCCAAGGCTTTGGGCCGTCCTCCACTGCTTTCCCAGGCCACAGGCAGGGAGCTGGAAGGGAAGTGGAGCAGCTGGATTACTCCCATAGGAGATCCTGGTGCAAACAAGGCGAGAGTTTTAGCCACTAGGCTGCTGTGCCAGGCGAGGAATTGAATCTCTTTAAAAAAAAGTTTTAGCATAGTTTTGCTTTATTGCAACAAACTAATCAAATACAATTAACATGAGATAACTTTCTAACTTTAGAAAGTTTTCTATTGTGATTGCAGGGTTGAAGCTATTGAATACCTTTTTTTAAAAAAATACACTTGTATTTGGGTGTTATTTGACATGTCACGTTTTGGTCAACAGGTCCTTCACACGGCGATGAAACACTGAGGTAAGCAGGGCACGCCAGCAGTTCCAACAGAATCCGTCCGGAATCGATGGGGATTTAGAGGCTGCAGGATGAAAGTCTGTGGTGTGGCTTCTTTTTTTTGGTTTCTCATTCCTTCTTACTTTTGCCTATTCCAATTTCATTCTCTTTTACTATTTCCTGTGTGTTCGCTGTTGCATCCTTTGGTTAAGCGCTAACTTGACTCAGATCTTGTCCGTTTCTTGTCCCGTTAAGTCATGTATTTTTTATAGCGTTGAGTGAGAAGTCCAGGGAACTGTTTAGTTACTCCAATTTCATCTTCCTCTGTTGTGCTATCTGGGCATTTTCCAGGCTTCCTAGCGCCAGAAGATCCTGTCAAGAAACGTATTATCACATGAGGGGTGGCAGGGCTGGTCTGAATCATATCTGAGTAATACCCACGAACACGAGTGGAGATCTAGAGGTAATTAACCTGTGCCTTCTCTATAGTCTAGAGGAACCCTTGAGAACATCTTGAGTTTCCCTGAAGTCGTGCTTTCAGACATGCAGAATTAAGTACAATGAGGCCTTTGAGAACAATTTTTAAAAAGATTTACTTATTTTTATTGGAAAGGCAGAATACAGAGAGGAGGAGAGACAGAGAGGAAGATCTTCCATCCGATGATTCACTCCCAAAGTAGCTGCAATGGCTGGAGCTGAGTCAATCTGAAGCCAGGAGCCTTGAGCCTCTTTCGGGTCTCCCACGCGGGTTTATGGTCCCAAGGCTTTGGGCCATCCTGCACAACTTCCCAGGCCACAAGCAGGCAGCTGGATGAGAAGCAGGGCTTCTGGAATTAGAACTGGCTCCCATATGGGATCCCAGTGCTTTCAAGGCGAGGGCTTTAGCTGCTAGGCTAATGTGCCAGGCTCTGATTTTTCAATCTTTTTGTTATTTGTTTATGAGAAAGAGAAATACAGACAGCCCCCTCTGCTGGCTCACTCCCCATACATGCCCACAAAGGCTGGCGTTGAGCCTGCTAAAGCCAGGAGTTAGAAACTGAATCCAGATCTTGTAGGTGAGTGACAGAGACGCAACTGCTTGAGCCATGAGCTGCTGCCTCCCAAGTTTGCATTGGCAGGAAGCTGGAGGCAGGAGCCAGAGCTTGGGCCCAACCCAAACAATCTAATCAGGGAAGTGAGCACCTTTCACTTTTGCTTTAGTTTTAACGTACTTATGGATTGATTTTGGAAGGCAGAGTTTCACAAAGAGAGAGGAACAGACAGAGAAATAGTGAGTGATCTCACCTGCTGGTTCTTGACCCATTTGGCCACAACAGCTAGTGCCAGCCAAGGCCGAATCCGGAAGCTGCAAGCTGCTTCTAGGTCTGTGTGTGGGTGCCAGTGGCCATCTTCTACTGCTTCCCGTTTCATTAGCAGGAAGCAGCAGAATAGGCGCAGTCGGGATTATAACCTGGTGCCCACATGGGAAATGGTGTCACAGGCCGCAGCTTAACCCAACGCAGTCCCACAATGGACCTTCCACACGGGGGCCTCTTAAACACTAGGTCAATTGCCTGCTCCTGTTTTTTCAGACTTTAACTTCAGCAGCTTGTAGCAAATTTAAGCTTCAACACTTGAGAAAATGCACTGAAGATGCAAAAAGCTAAAGAGCTTGGCTCCTCCATAGATGAGTTATAAAATAAAAAGATGAGACACAAAGCGAGAGTGTAGTCACCAGAGAGCATGAGTGAGAAATAAAACCTTCAACACATGTAAAAGGAATGATCCTTTGGGTCTGTGGGCGCCGGTTCTAATCCTGGCAGCCCCACTTCCGATCAGCTCCCTGCTTGTTGCCTGGGGAAGCAGCTGAGGATGGCCCAAGGCCTTGGGACGCTGCACCCACCTGGGAGACCTGAAAGAGGCTCAGGGCTCCTGACTTCAGATTGACTCAGCTCCAGCCACTACAGCCACCTGGGGAGTGAATCATCAGATGGATGATCTTCCTCCCTGTCTCTCCTCCTCTCTGTTTATCTGACTGTCCAATAAAAATAGATCTTTAAAGAAAAGAAAAAAAGAAAGCGATCATTTACATAGACCTCCCCTAAGAAGTCATGTGTCCGAGGTGACTCAGAGCAGAGGGAAACGGGACACGATGTCTCAGCTCCTTCTAGAAGGCAAAGCCGCATGAGGATACTCATACATTACAGGAGGAGAATCGAACCCTGGGACTTTGTGGAAACCTTTAATCCCAGAGCCCTCCGTAAAGAGACCTACCTACTCTATGAAATCCGGTGGACAAGCAGCAAGATCTGGCGAAACTCCAACAGAAACACCACCCACCACGCAGAGGTTAATTTTATAGAGAAGCACACTTCTGAAGGACGCATCCGCCCACGCACCAGCTGCTGCATCACCTGGTTCTTGTCCTGGAGTCCCTGCTGGGAATGTGCCAGGGTCATTAAGGAATTTCTAAGTCAACACCCAAGGGTGACACTGGTTATTTATGCAGCCCGGCTCTTTTATCACATGGATCCCCAGAACCGGCAAGGACTCAGAGATCTGGTCGCCAGTGGTGTCACAATCAAGATCATGGGCATGGCAGGTAATGTCAACAATGAGGTCATGGTCATGTGCTTCCTGGTGAGGAGACGGCGTATGGTGGCCTGGAAATCTCAGAAATGGAAGTCCAAAGTAGGAAGGAATGTCCCCCAAACACAGCTTATTTCTCCCCTCCTTTTGTAAGGATTTATTTTGTTATTTTAAAAATTTATTTGGAAGTCTGAATGACAGAGAAGAGACATAAACATAAAGAAGGATTTTCCCGTCTGTTGGCCGATTCCTGAGATGGCTGCACTAGCCAAGTCTGAGCAAAGCAGCATGGGCTCAAGTGCTTGTTCTGCTTTCCCAGCTGCATTAACAATGGCTTGTGTTAATGGAACAGCTGGGTCTTGATGAAAGCTTATATCTTATCATGATGTTGCAGGGATGGCTTAACTTGCTGGCACTCATTGCTTGTCCCTTCTTTCTCCATTCTTACTGCCAGAGCTCTCGGCCATGTTCACAGGCACTAAATGTGTCTGTTTAGGGAGTCTAGTTCATCTTTCCCAACAAAAAGATCAAAGCCATTACATAGCGTTTATGAAAGGACATGAAAAGTTTTGTGAGGGGATGTGCTGGGGAGTGGGAGTTGAGTGTGGCTCCTCTGCTTGCAACCAGCCCTTGTTAATGCATCCTGCGAGCAGAGGGTGCTGCTCAGGTGCTCAGATCCTTGCCATCCCGAGGGAGACCTGGATGGAGTGCCAGGTTGCTGGCTGTGGCCTGGCCCAACCCTGACCGTTCTAGGCATTTGGGGAGGGAATCAGCAGACGGAAGAGAATTTGTTGTTCTGTTTCTGTGTTGCTTTGCCTTTCAAGTAAATGAAAATAAAAGAATAAACTGTTAAAAAAAAAAAGTTTTGTGGAACAATGGAATTACAGGATAATTTCAGTTTTTTTGTATAAAATTGAAACTTATGCATAACTTTTCTCCAGAAAGCTTCAATGAAGACCCTTCTAGTGTCTAGATTTCAAATTGATTTGCACCCAAATACGTTTATTTTATAGTCCATGATGCTTTTGACATATCGTTGTACTTTAAAGTCTATTCCAGTAATTGATCATTGTTTTTGCTGAATGAACAAAAATTCTTTTTCCTTAGAGTACCGTTACTGCTGGGAGCAATTTGTCAACTACCCACCAGGGGAAGAAGGTTTCTGGCCAAGGTACACACCTGGCCCCATGATGATGTGTGCCCTGGAACTACTGTGCATAATTGAAGTAAGTTCTCTAGAGGACAGACGTCTGATGTAAAAGCAAGTGTGCTTCTTCAAACTTCTCATCATCTCTTTGCTACTTACTTTGAGATTTAGCTATTTCACTAATTCATTCTTCTTAAGATAACATGAATAGGGCCCGGCGCGGTGGCGCAAGTGGTTAAGTCCTCGCCTTGCACGCCCGGGATCCCATATGGGCGCTGGTTCTAATCCCGGCGGCCCCGCTTCCCTTCCAGCTCCCTGCCTGTGGCCTGGGAAGGCAGTCGAGGACGGCCCAAAGCTTTGGGAACCTGCACCCGTGTGGGAGACCCGGAAGAGGCTCCTGGCTTCGGATTGGCTTAGTATCGGCCTGTTGCGCTCACTTGGGGAGTGAATCATCGGACGGAGGATCTTCCTCTCTGTCTCTCCTCTCTGTATATCCGCCTTTCCAATAAAAAAATAATAAAAATAAATCTTTAAAAAAAAAAGATAACATGAATAACAGATGAGTAAGTGGAGAGCAAGTGCTCTAAGATACATTTGGACCCATGTAAATTCTACTTTTCATTATTGTTACTGTGCCACCTACTGGCCTTGCAGAGTTTAAATGGTTCTTCTTTCCCGTATTGGTCTATTTCATCTAAATAAAGACAATGTAGATGTCTCCTTTGGATGCCTCTTGACATTGGTCTTCCAGTTCACATATTTATTTAATATATTTTAAAAATGATCTACTTACATGTTGAAAGGAAGATTTTAATGGGAGTGGATGGAAGTTGGAAAAAGTGAGAGAAAATGTTCCACTCACTGGTTCATTCCCCAATTGGCTGTAATGTAAGGGACAGAGCAGGTTGAAGCTGGGAGCCTGGAATGTCACCCAGGTCTCCCACATGGGTGCAGGAGCCCAGGGACTTAGGCCATTTTCTGCTGGGCCAGACTGAATCAGGAGTCTGGAATTCCCTCTGGGTCTCCCATGTGAGTGCAGGCTAAGGACTCGGGCCATCTCTCACTGCTTTCCCAGGCTCATGAGCAGGGAGCAGGATCAGAACCAGAATGGCCATAACTGAGCTGGTGCCCCTATGGGATGCTGGCATCGCAGGAGGGCGCTAGCCTCCTGCACCACAAAGCCGGCCTTGTGGCACAGCCAGTTAAACAGGCATTCTACATGAGTGACAGCTGGAATCTTCACTGCTCCGTCTGATCCACTTGGAGCAGAGCTGGGACTGCAGCCCAAGGATTGCAGTATGAGATGTGGCATGTCACAATCCTTGAACTAAAGGCCGGCTGAAATGACATTTCAAAGCGTTCATTGCAATAAGTTGGTTTTAATATAGTCATTGTAAGGATTAAGTATAATTTTGTGCGTTTTTTTTTTTTCTAGAATCTCCCACCCTGTTTAAAGGTTTCAAAGAGTCATTAAAATCAGCTTGCATTTTTCAACCTTACTCTTCAAAACTGCCATTACCAAAGGATTCCACCTGACTTCCTTTTAGCTCTAGGACTGATACGGCCTTTTGTGGTTTGGAGATGAATAGAATGATTCTTTCTGTTCACACTATTTCAAGAACAAACCACTCATTGCCAAGTGCATGTTCTTAAGAATCTAGAAATTGGAGTTGCTGGGATCAGTTGGTCCAAGTCTTCCGAGCACCTCCAATGGAAGGACAGTCACCAAGGATTTGGCAACAAGGCCCAAAAGGTCGTTGTCCAAGACAATGAATGTTGACATGGACAGAGTTGATGTTGAAAATCGGATGGAACTGAGGGAAAGTCATGGCCTATTAATCAAGTGTCACAAGTTCTACATACACTCGAAGATCTCTCTGCAAGAGCAGATGCAGTTAAGGAAGAAAATCTGAAGATCAAAATCAAAAAACCATGTTCTTCTTGGACAACAGATAGAAGACCTCATGTCAGATTCTAGTATATTTCAAGTAACGGAAACAAACAGAAAGAGAAATAAAGGGATTAATTTAGCCCACTTCCTCTCCTGGCATGAACAACATCCTTGCCTGATTAGCACACGCCATTCTGGTTCTTACTGTTGGGAGCTACAACCCAGCCATGCCTGGCATCTCTGCAGACCAGCTCTCATAGGGCTCAGTGGGTACAGAGACCCAGCCCAGCCTGTCCTACACCCACCCTGGCTCTTGTGAGCACCAACAGGCACTGGAAGATAGCCCAGGCTAGCATACCCCAGACTTATTGCACACCATGCCGAGGGATATCGCAGTCATGTGCAGCCCTGTTTGTTGCCTCCATTACAGCTCTCACTCACTAGTAGGAACCACAGCCCAGCTAACACATCCCCTTAGCCACCTGACCAAATCTGCTCCCAGCCACACATCTTGTGCATGCCAGTTATTTCTCTGACCCTGCTTGGCATAATCCATCACCTGGCTTGGTCTTTGCCATCAGATGCTGAAGCCTGGCCTGACCTGACCCACTCTTAATCCCAACTCTCACCTAGTCTTTCCCAGCTTATCCCCATCCCCCATCCCTGGCTTTCATTCCAATCAGCAGGTGTGATAGCCTAGCCTACACATGCCAGTGTGTTATTTTTGGTCTGGTGCTTCCTATCTGCCCTCCCATTGCCACTACACACCCAATGACAAGTACAGCAGCTCTGCCCAGCATGACTAACACCATGCCTACTTGCATACTCATCAGTAGGAGCTATGGCCCACCAGGGCCACTCCCAGACCAAGTTCCCCCACCAGGCCAGCTCCCAGACCCAGATCTCACGCATGCCAGTGGGTACTAGGCCCTTACCTATAGAGCCTGCCCCATTTGTTTTGATCTTTGTGTGTGCTGGTGGATGTTACAGCCTGGCCCTCCATATACCTTCTTCTTGGGTGCTCCTGTGGGTGCTACAACCTGGTCCAGCCCAGCCTGTTCCCAATCCCAGTGCCCATGAGTGTTGATGTGTTTGATTGTTCTTGCCTTAGCGCAGCCCATCAGCACTTCCAGTCTCAAGGAAACCAGCTGGAATGGCAGTCCCACAGGGTGAACCTACCTATGCCCCTCAGAACCTCCTCCCAGACCCTGTTTTGTGCATGCTGGTTAGTGTCATGAGCCAGCTACATGTGGTTTATCCCTGTCCCAACACACTCACCAGCAGGTACTGTGGTTGAACCCAGGCGAGCAGGCTCCCCAGTCATGGCTTTCGTGTGTGGTGGTAGATGGTGGTTGATACCAATAAATCCAGCTCAGGTCTCTCATGTGGGAAGATGTATTGATTTGGCCCTGAAAGATCCTTTGGTTTCCATCCTCCAAACCACATAGTGTCATCCCTCTTAAATGGCTACTGAAGGTGCGGTAGCCAGGTTGGTGGCAGAAGTCACTCCTCATCTGTCATGCTCTCCCCTCTCACACATCTCCAGACCCGCTTCACTGAGCAATCCACAGTCCTCCATGCTCATGAGTGTGGAAATCCCCTAGCCTAGCTCTCAGTGGTGTGTCCTGCCCCTTTAGGCTCCTTCTTACCTGCCAGCTCAGGTGTGGTCCCCAGATCCCATTTGCCGGCAGGCCAGCATCTGACCCCCCAGATATTTTTTAAAAAATAAGAAGAATTAAAAACTAAAATAAGAATAAATGTGTAGCTATGTTTGCACACTGGTATAGTCAACACTATTTGTCAGGAGCCAGGTCCAGAAGGCCTGCCTGTTGGTAGATGCTCTTGTAGCAGTGAAACACTTGGCTAGGAGCAATGCAACCTAGGCAGGTGCCTGCAGCTGGGGCCTTATTTATCCTTTGACAATAAAAATTATAAAGACTTCTTTATTTTTATTTGAAATGTAATTTTTTATAGGGGAAGAGAGAGAGAAGGTGAGATCCTTCACCCATTGGTTCACTCCTCAAAAGGCCACAATGGCTGGAACTGGACCAAAGGCACGAGTCAGGAGTTTTATTATTTTTTTAGAATTTATTTACTTTTATTGGAAAGGCAGATCAGATTTCCAAGAGAAGGAGAGACAGAGAGAGAGACTTTTTATTCGCTGGTTTACTCCCCAAATTCTGCAATGGTTAGAGCTGAGCCAATTGAAGCCAAGAGCCTGGAGCTTCTTCCAGGTCTCCCAAGTGGGTGCAGGATCCCAATGCTTTAGGCTGTCCTTTCCAGGGCACAAGCAGGAAGCTGGATGGGAAGTTGGGCAATCAGGATGTGAACTAGCACCCGTATGGAATCCTTTGCACTGGCAATGTGAGCATTTAGTTGGTGAGCCTTTGCCCCAGGGCCCAGGAGCTTCTTTAAAGTTTCACATGTGGGCATTAGGGACCCAAACACCAAGACCATCTTTTGATGGTTTTTCCGGGAACATTAGTAGGGAAGTGGATTGGAAGTGGATCAGCTGGAACTACCATATGTGATGTGAGTGCTTCAGACAGGGGTCTAATCTGTCATACCACAATGCCAGTCCTTGTATTAGCTGTTTCTCTTCCTCCTCACAAATATGTCACAAGCTGTGATTATGGCTGCCCTTCAACCTATTCCTGGCTCTGCAGCTATATTCACTCTTCTGAAACTCAAATGTTTTTTCCTGCAGGGTTTACTTGTCTATTTATGAGAGTTCCTCTTCCCCTGCTATATTCTTTAAAGGCCTGGAGCTGGGCCAGGCTGAAGGCAGGATTCAGGAGCTTCACCTGGGTCTCCCAGGTGGATGATACGGGTCCATGCACTCGGCTTTTCTTCATTGCTTTCCCAGTCACATTAGCAGAGAACTGGATTAAAAGTGGAGTGGCTGGGATTTGAACCGGTGCACCAGTATGGGATGATACAGCTGGCACAATGCTGGGAGATTATTCACATGCTGTAAAACGTGCCATTTTCAAGTGTACAATTCAGTGCTTTGTAAAGTAGTGTTTACAAAATATGAAACCACTGGGCGTGGTAGTCTAGTGACTAATGTGCTTGCCTTGCATGTGTCAGGATCCCATGTGGGCATTGGCTCCTGACCCAGGTGCCTCACTTCCCTTCCAGCTCCCTGCCTGTAGCTTGGGAAAGCAATCAAAATGGCCCAGAGCCTTGGGATACTGCACCCATGTGGGAGACCTGGAAGATGCTTCTGGTTCCTGGCTTTCAGATTGGCTTAGCTTTGGCTATTGCTACCACTTGGGGAGTGAATCAGCAAATGGAATATCTTTCTCTCTGTCTCTCCTTCTCTCTGTAAATCTGACTTTCCAATAAAAACAAGTACATCTTAAAAACCACCACAACAACAATAAAACAAAATATGAAACTAACTCCAACATCTAATTCCAGAACATTTCATCACCCTAAAAATAACCCCCCTTAGCCCCATTCCATATCTCTTTGCACTACTGTCCCCTCCTCAGTCTCTGGATCTGGGACTTGAACCCATGACCACATAAGATGCTGGCATTAGAAGCAGCTGTTTAACACATTTTGTTCTATAATGCCAGCCTGTGTGTATACACATTTTTCAGAATTCATACATGTCCAGGCCCAGGACACTGACGTAAAGCAAGCAGTTACATTGAGCAGTTCACTACCTTTGACCTCCTTAACAAATAATGTCTTGGTAGTCTACAGATCTCAATGCTCCAAGCTTTCTTAAACCAAAGAGAAGATGGCATGCAATACTCCTACAATTCTAGTGACGTAAAACCCCAAATTGCACAGTGCCTTAACTACTGGCACATGTGCCTCTTGTGAGTACAGCTCATGGAGCTTCCTGCTTCTGTGTGGGACCAGTTACCGTAAGGTGCATAATGCAAGATGGGGGGACTTGCAGTTCTGGAAGTCAGCAGGACCAAATGGGCCTCAGTGATGCAATGTCAAGGTGTCGTCAGGGGAGTGCTCTTTCTGTGTGTCCTAGGGCGTAGCCCACTTCCTCGCATTGGTCACCTTCTAAGGCCCTTCTTCCTCGAGTCATGGGCTCTTCGGAGCCAGCAAGCATACTGCCTCGTCTCAGTCTCAAATCGGAAGTGCATGTTGAGCCTTATGAATGTAAGGCTGGAACGTGATCCAAAGTTCAGGCAACAGAGGATCAGTGGCAGAAGGGAAGCAGAGCACTTACTTCTTTCAAGGAAGAGTAAAAAAAAGTGGAGGAGTACTTGGGCATTTCCTTATCTGAGGCTTCTAGGAGGAAGAGAGAGCACAAAGCATCTGTGTGGCGACTCCCTGACTCACAGTTCCAGGCACAGTGCCGCTCCCATGTCAAACAGGGTTTGGGGGCAAAGAGCAAAATGAGCGGAAGTAAGTGCTGGAGACTTGGCAGGTTACAGTGCAAATGTTTAGTTTAATTTCTTCTCACTTTTGTGCTTCCCTTCTGGTTACAAGAGCTGAAGCTGTCAGTTGATGACAGCGAACACTTTCAGTTTCGTTTCCTCTCACTTAGTGCTTCTCACGTCATTACGAAGGACGGTTGGTCACCCTTGCCTTCATACTTAAAGGAAGTGAGAGGGGCCAGTACTGTGTTTGTAGCGGGTGAAGCTGCTGACTGCTATACCAGCATCCTAGAACGGCAGCATTTCGAGTCCTGGCTTGCTCCACTTCTGATCCACTACTCTGCTAATGTGTCTGGGGAAACAGTAAAAAATATTGTTTCCAGGCCCAAATTCCACGCACATAGAAGACCCAGAAGAAGTTCCTGGTTCCTGGTTTCAGATTAGCCCAGCCATCACTGCCACAGCACTCTAAGAAGGAGCCCAGACACACAGAATGGCTTCGGAGCAAGGTAGAGTTGATTTGGGACCTGGCAGGTTTGGTGTTCTAGAACAGTGTGCTTGTGCGTGTGTGCATGCTCTGCTTATGCTTGGGCATTTGGGGCATTTCCCAACTTTTCTATGATTAATTGGTATTAACTAACTGGCATTAGCAAACTGTATGAGGATAGCAAAATATTTATATTTGTAAATAATTTTGACTACCTGAGTGCTTATCGTGCCAAAATAAATAAAAACACAACAGTTAAAATTGAAGTGAATGTACCTTCTGGTAGACTTGTGGCCTTGTGGCTAAAGTCCTTGCTTTGCATGCGCCGGGATCCCATATGGGTACCAGCTTGTGTCTCCGTAGCCCTGCTTCCCATCCAGCTCTCTGCCTGTGGCTTGGGAAAGCAGTGGAGGACGGCCCAAAACCTTGGGACCCTGCACCTGCATGGGAGAGCTGGAGGAGGCTCCAGGCTCCTGGCTTTGGATCAGCTCATCGCTGATCATTGTGTCCACCTTGTAAGTGAACCAGCTCTCACTTGTTCTCCCTGCATTGAGTTTTGTTTTAAATCATAAATTCATTGCATTTTTGATGATGTTTGCATAGTTGAGAGGGATGCATGCCTGTGTTGATCTCCCGTTAGGTTGGGGTGGTCAAAGAAAGGGAGAAAGTGAATGAGAAAATTGCCTGCAATCTCCTTTTTTTCTTTCTGTATCTGAGAAAAGTGGGAAGGGAAGGAGAGAGGGCCATTGTTAGCAACTCAACTGCATCAGTACCCAGGCATGGGGGAAGACCATCCGATGGCATGCCAGGGTCTGCCATGCAGAGCATGTTCTGAGGATACTGCATAAGTGGTTTTGGTAGTTCTGAGGTGCTGTTGATTTCATTACTCCAAGGTTGAGGAGATCCCGCCAAGGTCCATTGGCTGACATAGTCCACCTTAGAGTCTCGATTTGTACAGATACGAATAGGTCCTTCTCAGGCTTCAATGAACCAGTTGTCATGTCCCCCATGAGCATCTGGGAATACCATTCACTACACAGGCTCAGCAGCAGAGCAGACCCGGTTTTGACACACGAATGACATGGTCATCAGACCTCAGATCTTGTGTTATTATCTGTGGTTGGAGTTCTGAGTCCAGTGATGCAGTTAAGAGCTTGCCCAAAGAAACCTCACCAGAGGTGACCCCAACCTGATTCCTGTGTGTGCTGGCCAGTGTGGGATTCAGTTTAGGCCATCACCCACATTGACCTATACACACACTGGTGCTTGCATTCTTTTGGTCAGTTCTGTCTCTGTCCTCATCTCTTAGGCAAACCAATGGATGCTGCGGCCCAGACCAACCCTGTCCATCACACACACAGCCCTCATGTACACCAGTGGGAACTGTAGTTAATCAGAGAGACCCCAATCACCCCGACTAGACCTACCCACAGGCTTGATTCTTGTTCATACGCAGCAGACTGGTCCAGTTTATCCCACAACCCATTCAGCTCTCATACACATCAGTGGGCATTGGTGCCTAGTTGAACCCCACCAATCCCACTATCCAGCCCACATTCATGTCGGTGGGTGCCAACACCTGTCTAGCTTCTCTAGGCCTGCCCCCAGCCCTGCTTGTATATTGCTCACCATTGTGAGTTGCAGCCCATGAGAAAGGTGCTCATGGTTTCCCTACTGGGTCCATTCCCATCCCTGGATCTTGTACTTTCCAGGTGGTTCTACAGTCTACTATGAAAGGACTTGCTCCCAGTCCCAGCAATTGCCAGCTGATGCTGAGGCAAAGCCTGCCCAGCCAACATTTACTCTGGCTCATGCCTTCACTAGGTGATATGGTTGCTTAGCCCAGCCTGGCTCTCCTCTAACTCAGCTCACATGCAAGCTTTCCCAGGTCACAAGCAGGGAGCTGGAAGGGAAGTAGAACAGTTAGAGTACAAATCAGCATCCATACAGGATCCTGGTGCATGAAAGGCTAGGATTTAGCCAGTAGACTCCCAGGCTGGGCCTGGAATTGAACCTGTGAACACATAAGGTTTTTTTGTTTTTTTTTTTTAAGATTTATTTATTTATTGGAAAGGCAGATATACAGAGAGGAAGATCTTCCGTCTGATGATTCACTCCCCAACTGACCGTGATGGCCGGTGCTTCGCCGATCCAAAGCTAGGAGTCAGGAGCTCTTCTGGGTCTTCCACTTGGGTGCAGGATCCCAAGGTTTTGGATCATTCTCACCTGCTTTCCCAGGCCACAAGCAGGGAGCTGGATGGAAAGTGGGGCAACCGGGATTAGAACCAGCACCCATGTGGGATCCTGGCGCATTCAAGGCAAGGACTTTAACCATTACACTATTGCACCGGGCCCTGAAAGCCTAAGTTTTAACATAAATTGTCCTCATTGCAATGAGCTGATCGAATACAATTAACCTATGAGACAATGGCCTAACTCCATTTTCTGTTGTGATTGGCAGATTGGTAGCTATTGAGCATCTTGCTCTTTGCAAATAAGTTGTATTTGGGTTTTATTTGACATACCATTTTTTGTTCAACAGGTTCTTCACAAATGGATGCCACTTTGGGGTAAGAATGACACTCTCCTGGTGCCAGCTTAATTCCATCCTGAATTGGTGGGTGTGGACAACTGTAGGATGACAGTCTGATGTGTCTCCTTCCTTTGGTTTCTCGTTCTTTCTTAATTTTACCTTTTCCAATATCATTCTCTGTTATTAAGCACTGTCTTGCATTCTAACTTGCCTCCCAGTTATTGTCTGTTTCTGGTCTCACTTAAATAATCACACATTTTTGTAACTTTGAGTGAAAAATCCAGGGAACCGTTTTGTTACTCTGATTTCATCTTCCTCTGTTGTTCTATCTGGGCATTTTCCAGGCTTCCTATCCCAGAAGGGTGGCAGGGCTGGTCTGAATCATAACTGAGTGTGATACCCATGAGAATGAGTGGAGACACTAGGGCTACATGAAGGTTATACCTTGTCTATACTGTGGAGGAACCCTTGAGCACATCCTTGAGTTTCCCTGAAGCCATGCCTTTCAGACATGCAGAATGGGTGTAATGAGGCCTCTGAGAACAGCTTGGGCTGCTTCTGTGACAGTAGAGTATACAGGTTTCTAATATAGAAGAATCTGGAGAACAAATCACTGATTTTTCATGCTTTTATTATAAGACAGAGAAATAGGGAGAGCCCTCTCTGCTGCCTCACTCCCCATACATGCCCACAAAGGCTGGCATTGAGCCTGCCAAAGCCAGGAGTTAGAAATTGAATCCAGATCTTGTAGGTGAGTGACAGAGACGCAGCTGCTTGAGCCGTGAGCTGCTGCCTCCCAAGTTTGCATTGGCAGGAAGCTGGAGGCAGGAGCCAGAGCTTGGGACCCAACCCAAACAATCTAATCAGGGAAGTGAGCACCTTTCACTTTTGCTTTAGTTTTAACGTACTTATGGATTAATTTTGAAAGGCAGAGTTTCAGAATAGGAGCAGTCTGTAATATAACCTGTTGCCCACATGGGAAATGGTGTCACAGACCACAGCTTAACCCAATGCAGTCCCACAATGGATCTTACACACGGGGGATTGGGGGCTCTTTTTTTTTTTTTTTTTTAAGATTTATTTGTTTTTATTGGAAAGGCAGATCTACCATCCGATGGTTCACTACCCAAGTGGCTACAACTGCTGGAGTTGATTCAATCTGAAGCCAGGAGCTTCGTCTGGGTCTCCCACGCAGGAACAGGGTCCCAAGGCTTTGGGCCATCCTTGACTGCATCCACAGGCCACAGGCAGGGAGCTGGATGGGCAGTGTGGCTGCTGGGATTAGAACTGTCGCCCATATGGGATTCCAGTGTGTTCAACGCAAGGACTATAACCACTATGCTATCACGCCGGGTCCTCATGGTGGGCTTCTAAAGCACTAGGTCAACCACCTGCCCCGTTTTCTCAGACGTTAACTACAGAAGCTTGTAGCAAATTTAAGCTTCAACACTTGAGAAAATGCACTGAAGGACCATAATGGTAACAATTAGAGCACAGAACCTCCAAGGCAAGATAGACAAGTTAGAAAATAGGAAGACTGAAATATAAAACTACAGTGTGTAGTCACCAGAGAGCTTGAGTGGAGAAGAAAAACATTTTCATTACTTACTGTGAAAGAAACTGATCATTCACATATGCCTCCCCAGGGACCCAGGAGACATAGCTTAGAAACAAAGACTTCCTAAGAAGTCATGTGTGCGAGGTGTCTCACAGGGAAACGAGACACGATGTCTCAGCTCCTTCTAGAAGGCAAAGCCGCATGAGGATACTCATACATTACAGGAGGAGAATCGAACCCCGGGACTTTGTGGAAACCTTTAATCCCAGAGCCCTCCGTAAGGAGACCTACCTGCTCTATGAAATCCGGTGGACAAGCAGCAAGATCTGGCGAAACTCCAACAGAAACACCACCCACCACGCAGAGGTTAATTTTATAGAGAAGCACACTTCTGAAGGACGCATCCGCCCACGCACCAGCTGCTGCATCACCTGGTTCTTGTCCTGGAGTCCCTGCTGGGAATGTGCCAGGGTCATTAAGGAATTTCTAAGTCAACACCCAAAAGTGAAACTTGTTATTAATGCAGCCCGGCTCTTCCATCACACGGATCCCCAGAACCGGCAAGGACTCAGAGATCTGGTTGCCAGCGGTGTCACAATCAAGATCATGGGCATGTCAGGTAATGTCAACAATGAGGTCATGGTCATGTGCTTCTTGGTGAGGAGATGGCGTATGGTGGCCTGGAAATCTCAGAAATGGAAGTCCAAAGTAGGAAGGAATGTCCCCCAAACACAGCTTATTTCTCCCCTCCTTTTGTAAGGATTTATTTTGTTATTTTAAAAATTTATTTGGAAGTCTGAATGACAGAGAACACACACACGCATAAAAACACAGAGAAAGGCTTTTCCATCTATGGACTGATTCCTGAAACAGTTGCAATACCAAGTCTGAGCAAAGCACCGTAGACCCAAGTATTTGGGCCATCTTCTACTGCTTTCCCAGCTTCATTAACAGGGATTTGGGTAAATGGAATAGTTGGGATTTGAACCAGGGCTTATATGTGATGCTAGCACTGCAGGTGGTGTCTTAACCTGTTGGTCTGCAGTGCTGGTTCCTTTCTCGATTCATATTACCAGGGCTCTTGGGCATCTCCTCCTGGATGGATTCAAGGAGTCTGATTTATCACCCACAGCAAATAGGTCAAAAATATTACATAGCGTTTATGAAAGGAAATGAAAAGTTTTGTGAGGGGATGTGCTGGGGAGTGGGAGTTGAGTATGGCTCCTCTGCTTGCAACCAGCTTCTTGTTAATGCATCCTGCGAGCAGAGGGTGCTGCTCAGGTATTCAGATCCTTGCCATCCCGAGGGAGACCTGGATGGAGTGCCAGGTTGCTGGCTGTGGCCTGGCCCAACCCTGACCGTTCTAGGCATTTGGGGAGGGAATCAGCAGACAGAAGAGAATTTGTTGTTCTGTTTCTGTGTTGCTTTGCCTTTCAAGTAAATGAAAATAAAAGAATGAACTGTTAAAAAAAGTTTTGTGGAGGGCCCAGCGCGGTGGCGCAAGTGGTTAAAAGGTCCTCGCCTTGCACGCCCGGGATCCCATATGGGCGCCGGTTCTAATCCCGGCAGCCCCGCTTCCCTTCCAGCTCCCTGCCTGTGGCCTGGGAAAGCAGTCGAGGACGGCCCAAAGCTTTGGGAACCTGCACCCGCGTGGGAGACCCGGAAGAGGCTCCTGGCTTCGGATCGGCATAGTATCGGCCTGTTGCGCTCACTTGGGGAGTGAATCATCGGACGGAAGACCTTCCTCTCTGTCTCTCCTCTCTGTATATCCGCCTTTCCAATGAAAAAATAATAAAAATAAATCTTTATAAAAAAGTTTTGTGGAACAATGGAATTACAGGATAATTTCAGTTTCTTGTAAAAAATGGAAACTTATGCATAATTTTTCTCCAGAAAGCTTCAGTGAAGACCCTTCTAGTGTCTAGATTTCAAATTGATTTGCACCCAAATACGTTTATTTTATAGTCCATGACGCTTTTGACATATCGTTGTACTTTAAAGTCTATTCCAGTAATTGATCATTGTTTTTGCTGAATGAACAAAAATTCTTTTTCCTTAGAGTACTGTTACTGCTGGGAGCAATTCGTCAACTACCTACCAGGGGAAGAAGCTTTCTGGCCAAGGTACACACCTGATCCCATGATGATGTTTGCCCTGGAACTCCAGTGTATAATTCTAGTAAGTTTCTGTGATACACAATGAAGTGTGTTCTTCAAGCTTCTCTCCTCACTATCTCTTTCCATTTATATTGAGATTGAACTATTTTACTAACTCATTCTTCTTAAGAAATCATGAAAGTAGCAGGTGACTGAGTGACAGAGAAAATGCAGTCAGGTGCATAAAGCTCTACATTTTCATTATTGTTACTGTGCCGCCTACTGGCCTTGCAGAGTTTAAATGGTTCTTCTTTCCCGTATTGGTATATTTCATCTAAATAAAGACAATGTAGATGTCTCCTTTGGATGCCTCTTGACATTGGTCTTCCAGTTCACATATTTATTTAATATATTTTAAAAATGATCTACTTACATGTTGAAAGGAAGATTTCAATGGGAGTGGATGGAAGTTGGAAAAAGTGAGAGAAAATGTTCCACTCACTGGTTCATTCCCCAATTGGCTGTAATGTAAGGGACAGAGCAGGTTGAAGCTGGGAGCCTGGAATGTCACCCAGGTCTCCCACATGGGTGCAGGAGCCCAAGGACTTAGGCCATCTTCTGCTGGGCCAGACTGAATCAGGAGTCTGGAATTCATTCTGGGTCTCCCATGTGAGTGCAGGCTAAGGACTCGGGCCATCTCTCACTGCTTTCCCAGGCTCATGAGCAGGGAGCAGGATCAGAACCAGAACAGCCATAACTGAGCTGGTGCCCCTATGGGATGCTGGCATCGCAGGAGGGGGCTAGCCTCCTGCACCACAAAGCCGGCCTTGTGGCACAGCCAGTTAAACAAGCATTCTACATGAGTGACAGCTGGAATCTTCACTGCTCTGTCTGATCCACTTGGAGCAGAGCTGGGACTGCAACCCAAGGATTGCAGTATGAGATGTGGCATATCACAATCCTTGAACCAAAGGCCGGCTGAAATGACATTTCAAAGCGTTCATTGCAATAATTTGGTTTTAATATATTCATTGTAAGGATTAAGTATAATTTTGTGTTTTTTTTCTAGAATCTCCCACCCTGCTTAAAGATTTCAAACAGTCATCAAAATCAGCCTGCATTTTTCAACCTTACTCTTCAAAATTGCCATTATGAAGCCTTCTACCTTTTAGCTCTAGGACTGTTAACGGTTTTTTGTCGTAATTGATGATGAATAGAATGATTCTTTCTGTTCACACTATTTCAAGAACAAACTACGTACGGAAGAATGTAGAAATTGGAGTTGCTGGGATCAGTTGGTCCAAGTCTGCTGGGCTGAGCATGCTTCTGACCCCTCCCTCTCCTGGCACAGCAAACGGAAGGACAGTCATCGAGAATTTGGTATCCAAGGCCCTATAGGTCGTTATCTAGAAAATGAATGTTAACAGGAATTCTGTTGATGCTCCAAATCAGGTGGGACTAGTGGAAAATCATGGCCTGTTATTCAAGTGTCACAAGTCCAACACACACTCGAAGATCTCTCTGCAAGAGCGGATGCAGTTAAGGAAGAAAATCTGAAGCTACAATCAAAATTTGTTGTTCTTCTTGGACAATAAATAGAAGATTTCATGTCAGATTCTAGTATACTTCAAATAATTGATACAAGAAACCAAACAAATTAAGGGATTAATATCCCTTCTGTTTCATGATGTTGCTGACTTGTTTTTTTGTTTTTTTGTTTTTTTTTATAAAACATCAATAGACTGCAAAACTTCCAGTGCTTGTTTTCACGGCTTCACTGAATGTTTATGAAGATAATGTCAGATTTAGACATAATTTTCTGCTTAAGATTCTACACGTTGTGTATTAGTCTATGAAAAGTGTGAATGAATTCTAGAGACTTTATAACCTGACTTGCATAGATTATGACACTTGAAGATGAATGCTTTATTGAATTTACCTTCGTGCATAGGCTTAGTGCTGTCTTGTGTTATAGGCTTGGTAAGATACCCAAGAAAGATGTGCCATTTTGTGAAAAAGTGACCAAATCATGTGTTGAATACACAGCTTTATGTCCCTGTCTACCACGTGGTGTCTCCTCTCCACTTGCCTCTTCCTTCCCATTTCTTTCCCCAAAGAAAAGTTTTATGTTTACAAAAAGTGTTATTATTAATCTTCTTGGTAACAATGAGAGTTCTAAGTGCTGACACCTAACCAAAACACACTATTTTTTCAGCTAGGATTTGCCGTTTGTGATAATTAGTAGAGAAGAGAGCATTGCTGGTTTCTCTTGAATGAATCAAAATCAGATGCAAGCTGTAAGAAAGAAAAAGGATTTTTGCTTGAAAGTCAATTGTCAAAGGTATAAAAATTGCTTTGCACAAGAGAATCTGCTTGGTATCCTTAAAGAGTTCTAGTCACATCTGTGTTTAGAAATAGAAAACCTTAACGAAAAATAAACTAGGGTACAGAACTACTAGGAAAACAGTGGTAAATCACCTTCAGCAGGTTTCACCGCAGCCATGTTGCTTGTGTTGCAGAACAGAGGTTTGGGGCGTGTCTATGAAGATGGATTGTCTCACCTCACATCACCCACCGCTGGAAGGAAACAGTCACGCAGAGTTTGGTTTTGAGGTTGATTTGTAGTTCCCAGCAGGCCAAATCCCTTGAGTGTATCAGTAGCAGAATCATGAACACACTGGGGTGTTTTACACGTGGACTGGTTGATGATCTTGCTCAGTGTTTCACCCCACTTGTTCCTCCAGAATTTTGTAAGCTTACCTTGGTTTTCAGAGTTCGTCATCCTTTAAAAATTTTTAAAAATTTAGTTTGTAGTTTGGTAAGGGAATGATCATTTTCTGAAGCAATAAAATATTCTGGGACAAGAGACCAATGCATATAGCTTATGATTATTAGGTCGCTTTTAATGATGGAATAATCTGTGTTGCTAAAGGTTTCATGAATTATGAATTAGCTGCATGATAGCTATACTGCAAACATTGTGCATCCCTTTGGTGATCTGTAATTGACAAATATTTAGGTTGTGTTCGAGTTCTGCTTTGCTGTTTAATAAAAAGTTGTTTTGGTAAAACAAAAGGAATCTAGAAATTTGCACAAGCAGCAATACCACGGATTGTGTTATCTTTGACCATGTCCCATCTTACCTTAACATTTTGTTACTAAAAACAATAGTAAATATACTGGTAAGTTTTATTTTAGGTGGAGTCTATGTAAGTCACAGCCACGTGGCTGTGCCGGGGGAGCCCATGCCAGGCCAGGCTTCCTGCTGGGGATCACAGCTGGCCATCCATGGCTGCTGGGCAGGGGGAGGGTCCTGGGCTTGTGGGCAGCCAGAGCACCAACTGGCACTGCTTGGCTCTCCAGCAGCCCCACGGTGAGCTCTGGGGTCTTGGGCTATGGAATTGCTCCATAAGGACATCTATGGGTAACGCCACCGTACATGTTAAGTGAGGGAAATCCCGAGGGACACCCAAGGACAAGGCCACTGTACTTGCAGGTGAGCAAGGGGTTTGCAGAGGAGATACCTAAAGATCTTTATGGGTCAGATTGGTGCATCAACCACATGGGAGTCCCAGATTGGGCTTCTAAGCATGCAACATGGCTGACCACCACACACCAGCCCATACGAAGGCTAGGGCTGGGAGCCTGTCTAGCAGGGATAGTTCCCAGTATCTGACAAATGAGTGTGTCGAATCAGGGGATGGGTCACATTAGATTGAGCCATGACAGGAACCAGCACACGAGAGAACCAGGTCAGGGTGGATTCTGTGGGGTATATGTGGGCCCGACCGTATGGAAGTATAAATCTTGCTGGTTAGCTTGAGTTGGGATAGTGATCTGCTGAGCTAGGCATACCATGGAACTCACTGACACGGGTACTGCGGCTGGAAACAGGTGGGCAGGTCCAGGCTGCAGCACCCTCAGGAGCACCTAAAAGCAGGGTACGGGTGGGCTGGGCCACACCAGCTCGTACAAAGGCCAGGACAAATGGGGTAGGCCATGTCCAGTAAGGGTCAAGCACCTGCTAGCATGCATGAGCTCTGGGTCTGGGAGTGGACTGAGCTGCAGAACCTGGGAAACTCCCCTAGTAGGTCATAGCTACCACTGATGAGCACGTGTTCCAGGCCTGGATATTGGGCAGACTGCAGTCTAGCCCTGCCCAGTATGTTCCCATCCCTGACTTTCATGCAAACAAGGTGGTGTTATAATTTAGCCCAGCATAGCCTGTAGTCCATCTTGGCTCCTGCACACGCCAGGGTGCTATGGTTTGTTCCGGCATTGCCCAGTCCGTCCCCTCCAGAACCAACCCACAACTTTCCAGCAGGTGGAACAGCCTTGCTTGGCCTGGTCCCCACCCAGGCCTGACTCACATGCTCAACAGCAGAACCTTAACCCACCAAGGGAGTTTCCCAAGTTTCCCCACCAGACCCACTCCCAGACTCAGATTTCACGTGTGCCAGTGACTGCTGGACTCTTACCTGGCACTGTCTGTCCCCTCTGCCTCAGTCTTTGTGTATGCTGGTGGATGTTGCAACACAGCCCGCCACACACACTATTCTTGTGTGTGCCCACGGGCACAGCAGCCTGAACCCATGTGGCCTGCTTCCAATCCCAGTACCATGAGTGTTGAGAGGTTCCGTGATCATGCCTAGTTCTGCCCAATGCCACCCCAAGTCTTAGGCAAACCAGTTGGGTATTGCAGTTCTACAAACTGATCCCACATATGGCCCACAGAATCTGCTTGTTCTCTCTTGTGCTGGTTAGTGTCATGACCCAACCCGATGCTACCCATGTCCTGTTCCAACACTCGCTGTGATCTAGCCCTGCTGGGTAGGCCCCCAGCCTTAGCTTTCGTGTGTGCTAGTGGGTGGTAGTCAGTGGTGGTGGATGCTAACTAGCCCAACTCGGGTCTGCCACCTGAGTGGGTGCTTCAGTCTGACCCAGAAAGGTCCTCCAAGCCACCCGGTCTCAGCCCCCTCACTTACCTGCAAGAACAGAGGCCTTGTCTGTGGAGATACCCCACAAGTCATTCCTGTAACGTACTCCCTCGAGTGGTCCTCCCTCCCACACATCCTGCATTCCCTCTCCTGAGCAATCCACAACCCCTGCATCCCAGAGTGCATGTGTTCCCCAACCCGGTCTTCCCAAGCTCCGTCTTCTGGTGGGGTGATATGCTCCCTGGAGCTCCGTCCTCCAGGAACCCAAGCCCCTAGGCTGGTCCCCTGACCTCTCGGTTAAGCATGCTGACCTGGGACCTTACCCCTCTGCCCGTCTATGATACAAGTGCGTGCATGAGACACCAGGCCTGGCCTACCTTCACACCACACTGGCATGGGGCCTTTCCCTCCCCTTCCCCCAGCTGCCCTTGGGACCAAATCACCTACTGGATCTCAGGTCTGCTAAAACAGCCTTGAGTGCAAGTCTTTAGACCCCAGAGATCATGGAACGGAGTGAAGCCTCAGCAGCTCTGTCTCCCAAAATAAAGTCATTCTTAAAGAACTTTGGCTTCTTTTTTTAATTTGTAAAGATTTATTGGAAGCAATATAGAACAACTAAATAGTTAATTCCATGTTTTTTCTGTCCTGTCCACAGCACAGAGCCTTACCCCTCCAGAACCCCCAAGGACGGCTTGCTTGTCGGGATGACCTTGGGAACTCTCCCAAGTCACTTTCCCATGAGGCATTCCAAGGATGACATGACCACGTGCTCTAGTGGGAACACACGCATCCTCCAGCTGTGTTCAGGAAGGATACAGAAGAGCGAGAAGAGCTGTGATCCAGCTGCAGAGAGTACCCATTCTACTGCCAGATTTGAAAGCATCATGCACTAAGAACCTTCTCTGCTCTCCCCAGCAGCAAGGAAGGCGAGCAGGGCATGAAAGGGCCCAGCCTCACAGCTTCCCCGGGTGGACAGCAAGGGCTTCAGCCTGTCTTTTAGCTCATCTACCCTTTACTCAGGTCCTCTGCCGAAACCAGGCCTCACATCGGGCTTCCCACCTGCTTCCCATCCGCAGCTAACCCACAGTGTTTGGGTCCACACTTTGTTGGTCTTGCATAGCATTGTCAGCATCTGTGGCTCCCGGGGGAGCCCTGTTCTCTCTTGACAATGCAGGGGGGCCTTGGCTATGGACACGCTCACCTCTGCTCTGGTATGTGCCATTCTAACTAGACCTCCCTGCGGTGCCAGGGACCAACCAACCCCGCCCCTCTGTGCCTATGAAACTGTGTGCCTTTCATTCCCCCACCCCAGCCTCTGGGACCCATTCGGGTCTGGAGTCCGCAGGTGGCGATGGGGCAGTCTTTCTGTGGTGCTCCCCCTGCTGTCAACTCCACTGAACTTTGCAAAGGTGTACACAGGGACCCTAACACCACCCGGGAGCCAATCCATGCTCACAGCTGTGTTTTTTATTCATGAGAAACATTTGCAAAAGCCTCAAGAAGAGAAAAATCTAAGGTGGAGATCAGCGTGGGGACCCCTCCTTTCGACCTGCTCCAAGTTAGGCTACAGGTGGGACGGGGCGGGGAGGCACTTTTTGGCAGCTGATGCTGTGATTGGCTGCTGGGAGCCTGAGGAGCTTAAGGATCCTCCTGTTGACCCCATCCCCCCGTCGGCTTTTGCGGTGGTGAGGGGGATGGAGAGTGTCCGGGGGTGGGAGGGAGGCGAAGTCTGTGATCCCAGCCTCCTCAGGCTTGCTTGTTGTCGACACGGCTTCTGCACCACTCCTGGCACTGAGGGTGGAAGGGGAGCTCGCTGGGACTGGCTGGGGATGGGCTGGGTCTAGAACTCCTCTCCTGCAGTTGACCAGGTAGAGGAGAGACTCACGTGTGGGTGCACCATGTCGAGTCTTGGGTGGGGTGCTGGCTCTGGGGAGTTTTGTCCAAGTGCCAGGGCGTGGGCAGCCAGAAGGAAAGACTCACTCGAAACCTCCTTAGAATGAGCGTGTACGGATAAGCTTGCCAGGAAGGCAAGGCTGGGATGGGAGGCCGAGGCTCAGGTGAAGATGTGCTTGTAGGTGTTGGCAAGGAAATCGGCTGCAGGGCCACAGTGGAGTTTGAGAACTTGGCATCTTGTGGTCAGGTGCCTGGCAGCAGACTGAGGCCGGACGGAGGACTGCGTGGCTTCTGGGTCCTCGGGAAGCCCCAGGGCCTGCGCAAAGTTGACCTCGTTCTCCTCAGCTTCTTCTTGGCCGGGGCTGAACCACAGGTAGGTCCTTGCGGGCTGCACTTGCCGGGGGGCCTCTGCACCTCGTCCCCACGCGGCGGTTGCGCTGCGGGCGGCTGCTCTGGGGCGGGGCAGACTGGACACCGAGCTGGTAGCGCCCGGCACCTCGTCCGTGCTCCTCCCACGCAAGGGTGACTTTGCTGCCGTCATGATGAACAAGATCACCCTAGGACTCCAGGTGGCTTTTTTTTTTTTTTTCTTTTTTCCAGAGAAGTCAAACTCTTATTTTCACTGTCCACACATCAGTCAACATACTGGGAGAGCCAGCGGAAACTCCTCGCTGCAGCCTTGCTTCTTGAGACACCAGACATGAATACTTCCATAGGGCGATCTTTGAGCTCCTTAAGGGTCACATTTCCAGTTTTTTTTTTTTTTTAAGGCTGTCCTACGTCTCCTGGAGTCTCTCCTTTGGTACCCAAGTCAGCCAGTTTGCTGTTCATGTGCGAGTCCAGCGGCAGGCCGCCCAGCTTCGGGTTGTCGTGCGCCCTCCTGTTTGCGTGCCGTTACTCGGCCCATGATGTCTGACTGAACAAGGTGCCAGCTCAGGACACGGCTTGGCCGTGTGCCTTGCACCCAGGAGCTGGGTGATGTTCTTGTGCAGCAGACTATTTGGGAGAGCAGCTTCTGCGTCCCCTTTGGCAAGCCGGAGGGCTTGTGGCGGTTTGGCCGTTTGGCGGCAGAACGTCCGCGGCCACGTTCTTATTCGTTGCAGAAACGGTGGGCGAGCTTCCCCAGGCGCGAGGGGCCCTGGCCCACGGCGTCCAGGAAGTAGAACCCATCAAGACCCACCTCTCTCCTACCTGCCCTGGCAACAAATGTGAACCAATCCCTGACTCTGATAATTTCAGAAAACAAATAGCAAGCGGACCAACTAAGTGCTAGCGTGACTAATGCACACGAGAGAAACCGTTAGCTCCCGGAAGCAGTAAGACAATTTAAAACTGAAACGGCAAAGGAGAAAACTGCCCCAACATTAACTACACTAATGCTAGCAAATCCAACAGTGTTACCCAGCTAAGGGGGGGGCGGGGGTGGGGGAGGGGAAGCAAAAACTTAAAAACTGCACAAAGTAAGTAGGTGAGAAAAACTCAAACAAAAGGGAGGAAAAGAATAGACAAAATAGACTAAGAAACAAACGTAAACTCCACCAATGCCAGTAAGCGTGAATGCTGCCTGAGGTGGGCCTGTGACAGGCGGAAGGCTAGGCTCGGGCAGCAGGGGTGTGAGCCTGTGTCTGTACACTTTTTGGTACGACCTAACAGTGATTCCTTAGGAAGAAGACACGGGCTGATCCCAGCCCTGCCAGGAACTTGCACGCGTGTATAATTTGTATCAATTTGTGAAGTTACAGCGAGATCTAGCAGAGCCAGAAATCCTCATTTTTTTCCAGAACTTTCCACTTAAATAAAAACGAGGACCTTGAGGGTTTTTCACTTAGGTTGGTGATAGAAACGGATGAGTTTTTTGGGAGGGTAGATTAACAGATTAACACTTGTTGAACATTTCAATGGCTTTTTGTCATCTCTTCTTCTTCTTTTTTTAAGTGATAATAACTTTGGTCTTTGGTCTCGACTTCTCTGGCCTCGCGATAGCATGGACCAAAAGCCGGGTTGTCCGGGATGCTCTCAGCTGCAGCTACAGCGGCGAGACGAAGGCGTCTCTCTCAACCACTTCTCCCCAAGGTTATGAGAATCCTACTCAGAAACCCCGGAGGACCAGAAGGCAGTGGGGTTGATCGAGTTCGGCTCTGAAAGGCCAAAAATAAAGACCAGTCGAGACAGTCATATTCTCCAAAATTGTCCTTCAAGTAGTACGGAGAAAGTGAGGCGTTTCCTCATGTCTTGAACAAAACACTGTAACTCCCTCGGGGGTGATTGAAAAACAACAAAAGCGTGTTCCTCAGTGTTTTGGAGGTCAAGGCACCGAGCAGCCTTGGTGTTCGGAAAGAACTCCCTGCCTGCCCCTGAGGCACTGTGCGCTGCTTCTGCACGGAAAGCAAGGGGGGCTGAGGGCCTGATATGGCCGGTGCAAGCTACAGTGCTGGCAAGTTGCACTGCAGCCCTCTGAAAATGTGCATGTACTACATCTTAACCCAAAACCCAGGAGGAAACTTTTAAAAATGCTTAAAAAAAAATCTGAAAGACAGCTATACAGAGAGAGAGAGAGAGATGGGAAGAGATCTTCCATCAGCTGGTTTACACCTCAAATGATTACAACTGTCAGAGCTGAGCTGATCCAAAACTGGGAGCCAAGGGCTTCTGGTTCTCTCACATGGGCACAGCATCCCAAGAACTTGAGCTATCCTCTGCTGATTCCCCAGGCCATTAGCAGGTGGATCAGAGGTGGAGCAGCTGGGACTCCAGCTAGCGCACCTGTGGGGTATCAGTGCTGCTGGTGGAGGATTCAACTTTATTTGGAAAAAGTGAAAGTTTGCAGTAAATGATCACCACAGCTTCCTTTTGAATTTTCTTGTTCTGCCATTGGCTGATTTTTGTGTTGTGAAGACTCTTAACATTACAGATCTTTTTAAGAGTTTGAAAACTTCTATGCTTCACTGATTTCGCCCCTCTTGGCTTAATTTCTTCTCCAGATCTCATCTATGATCAAAGGGGACGTGAGGCGCCTGCGGGATTTACATGGGAAGGGGAAGGGAACCGAATGTCAGAGACGATGACAGCTTCAAACTCCCAGGGACAGAGTTCATTTGATTAATGCTCCAAGGTGGTTATTTGTGATGTGCAGATTTCATGGTCCAGAGATTAGAACAGCTCGCTGTCATCACACAGTCAGCCTTGCTGTTCCTCTCTCACAGCAGACATTGTCCCCGCAAGGTGGCCTCTCACTGCTCGTCCCGCTGGGCCCTGCTAAGCATGGTGACTGGTCCCACCACACCTACCCCGCCGCCCAGATGCACCTTTGTGGATTATTCTTTTATTATTAGACCCTGCACAAGATCCCTCTATTCCTGCTGGGATTCTGTTTTCAAGAAATCAATAGGACATGCATTCATGCTTCTCCTGGGCTTTGTGAACAGCCCGCGTAGGCCACAATGTGACTGCCTTAGTAGTGAGTTGTGAAGGGTTTGCAGTGCCAGGAATAAGGCAGGTACCAACCTTCAGCTTGGATTACCACATGAGATAGACCCCAAGCAGGCTCTTCTTCTTTTTAAGATTTATTTTTATTGGAAAAGGAGTTCTACAGAAAGGAGAGACAGAGAAAAAAAAAGTCTTGCATCTTCTGGTTCACTCTCCAAATGGCCACAAGTATCAGAGCTGAGCCGATCAGAAGTCAGGAGCCAGGAGCCAGAAGCTTCTTGTGGGTCTCTCATATAGGGGCAGGCATCCAAGGCCTTGGTTAAGCTCCCTTGCTTTCCCAGGGCATTCGCAGGGAGCTGAATGGGAAACAGAGCAGCCAGTACATGAACCAGAACCCGTATGGGATGCTGGTGCTTGCAAGGTAAGGGTTTAGCCATTGAACCATTGTTCCAGGCCCAAACCCCTGCACCAGGCAGGACTGGGCCAGGCCAAAGCCAAGGGCCTGGGACTCCATCTGGGCCTTAATCTGAGTCTCCCACATCAGTAGCAGGGACTCAAACACCTGAGCCATCACCTGTCCGTCAGGGAAGAGAAGGCGGATCGGAAGCAGAGTAGCAGAGACTCAAATCAAGCCCTCCTCCCAACGCTGCACTCAGTAATACCCAACACTGATCTAGAACCCAAATTGCTGCCATAAAATTTACTGAAAACCCAGACAAGCACTTCCTAACCATGCCATAACACTGTCAGACTATACTACGATTTTGCACTCTGTTAATAGGATCTAAAGTTATAATCTATGTGACCCCAAGAGCTCATTTCAATATATCAAAGAAGAAAATTAGGATGAAAAAAAATGAGACATTATATAACATAATACAAGGTAAGAATGAATACATGAAATGACAATTTATAATAGTTACTTTTCACAAAGGTATACACAGTAAGATGAATATGATACAATTTGTATACAAATTGCGCAAGGCTTCTGTTTATCTGCATAGCAAGGGTTGCTAGGTAACAAGCTCAAGGGGAGTATGACCATCTTGATATTTTTGTCTCTGTCAAGGATTGTTGCAACGGACTCATATGAAGCCCACTTTGGCTCCCTCCACTTTCCTGGAGAGAGTAGGATTTCCTTGCAATACTCATCTCTTTGGTCACACTCACGCATAGCTGTATATTTGGGAGAAGCACCACACAGACATAAGCGGTAGAAAACCTTGACCTGCTTGTCATGGCTAAGGTTAAAAACCCCATCAGAGTCAACAGATCTTATGATCTTTCCCTTTAAAGTGTCCATTAGCCATGGTATGTGAAGTTTATGGGTGTGTTTCTTCCTCTTTTTTAAAGGACTTCTTTATTTTTATGGAAAAGCAGGTCTATAGAGAGAAGGAGATACAGAGAGAAAGCTCTTCCATCCACTGGTTCACTCCCCCAAATGGCCACAATGGCTGGAGTTGAGCCAATCCGAAGCCAGGAGCCAGGAGTTTCTTCTGGGTCTCCCGTGTAGCTGCAAGGTCCTGAGGTCTTGGGCCATCCTCCACTGCTTTCGCAGGCAGGGAGCTGGATGGGAAGTGGAGCACCTGGGACACAAACTGGTGCCCATATGGGATCCCAGTGCACGCAAGGCGAGGATTTAGCCACTGAGTCATCATGCTGGGCCCATGGGTGTTTCTCATAGAGGGACTTGTTCTAAAACGTTTGTGTTTTCCAAGGATTTGGTCCAAGGAGTCAACTGCACATCCGGCTGCCTTCTCCACAGTCCCCAGATAACATGTGAAGCTCCTTGATTAGCATAATCTGCAAGTGACCACATAGAATACACAGCTCCTTCCACCACCCCCAAATCCTCTAGCATACACACGTGAAAACGCGCGCCAACCAGGCTCTTAAAACACAGCACAAGCTTGGATGCTAATGCTCGGGAAAGGTGGCTTGGGGTTTCAGTCGCCCAGATTCTCTCATTCGGAGGTTCTCTAAGTCACAGCCTGATGGAAGAGTTTGGGTTACCTGAAGGCTAATCTCAGAGGGAAAGTAAAACAAACAAACAAACAAACACAGGACTAACACCACTGACAAGTCCAGGGAATCAGGAAGGAGGCTTGCAGGAAAGCACGCGATCCTCCCAGCACACCTGTTAGGAGCTGCTTTCTGCTTTCATTCTGCCTCAAAGTCATAGGACTTTGTCACTTTAGGATGTCTACTCTCCCAAACCCAGGACTTTTGCTTTTCTCTTGCCCACAGCGGGGAAAGATGGTCACCTTCAAAACAGCAACGGGTGTAGCTTTTACCCCAGTAAACTGTTTCTTCTCTGTTTTCAAGAATCCATGTTTTTAGAGTCATACATAATTGTGTATGGTTTCTCCCCTAAGCTTGAAGACAATGAGAGCAGGAATAGAAATGCGAGAGGACTTCAAGAATTTTCCTTCTATGCCCCGGCTGCGGCAGAGGGGTCCCGTGGTGTGCGGACGCCTGGAGGTTGCAGTCAGAGGCCCAAGGTGCGAAATGCGTCCCGTAAGTCATCAACCTCGTAAAGGGGCTGCGGGAAAAGAGAGGTGAGTTGGGCAAGTGATTTCAATATTGAGTCGGTGGGCTGGGGTTCTAAAACTGCACAAATGCCTGTGCAGCATTTTTGCAAGGAAAGTAAACACTGGAGGGAGTAAGAAAAAGAGATGGGAAATGCTTTAAAATCTTAAAATTTTATATACTCGAGAGGCAATTTTTAAAAGAGCAGAGACAGAGACCTTCCACTGGCTGGACCACTCTCCCAATGCCCACGGTGGCGGGGTTGGGTCAGGTCCAAGCCAGGAGCTTAGAACTCTGTCCAGGTCTCCCACATAGCTAGGCAGCAGGCACCCAACCACTGAGCTGTCCACCTGCCGCCTCCCATGGCGTCCAGCTGGAAGCTGGGGTTAGGAGAGGCAGGATTTAAACCCAAGTCACTCTGCTACAAGAGTCAGGCATCCCAGATGACATCTGAACTGCTGTGCAGGAAAGAATTCAGACTTGGGAAGAAATAGAATCCAAGGAGAGAGAGATAGACACAGACACCAATATGAAGGGAGGAGCCAAACGAGCAAGAGCTCCTAGCCGATGGCCCCGAAGTGGGAACCAACAGAATTATTCAAGTCCAAGTGCAATTAGGCTTTCATTGGATAATTTGTGAGAGTCACCCCACCCCCTCTGCCTCCCTCCTACCCCCACCTCCAAAAAAAAAAAAAGGAAAAAAGAAAAGCAAAGCAGCCTGGAGGAAGAACCCCGACAGACGCTTACCAAGAGAATGCGCCGGAGCTGTCTGGACAGACGCACCGAGTTCTCATGCAGTCCTTCCCAGCCCTTGAAAGTTTTTTCACGATTCTCCACAAAAGTATTCCAGCAGTAAAAGTAATCTGGAGAGAGAAAGAGAGAGGATATAAGTTAGGGTCAGGTCCCCAACTGTAGGGAGAGAAGAGGAATTCCAGCCCCGTTTCCTCACTTCTCTAGGGTCACGTCTTCAAGCTACCGAATCTCATCATTGACTTCTAGCCAAGCATTTGATCCCCGGAGTGATCCCCGCTCCCTCCTGCCCTGTCTGCGAGGCGCACCCCCCTTCTCACACTGACTTCACCCCGGCCCTGCGAGGTGGAGGCCCCAGCCATGCCCACTGCCCTAGGTACCTTTGAAGGTCATGATGCCCAGCTGGACCCCTGCGCGATGCAGCCGCCGCAGCCCCTCGGGCTCGGCTTTGCGATCCTCGCAGAAGTAAAGGCGGGCGGTGAAGATCCTGAGGGTGAGGTTGGGGTTGCCTTGGAGAAAGTCAGCCACGTGCCGGGCACATTCGTAGCAGGGGCTCCAGGAGGTGAACCAGGTGACGCGGTAGCAACGGCCAGGGTCCAGGTCCCAGTGGGAGATGAAGCGTAGGAAGACCATTTCCACGTGGCATCCATTCTGGAGGACAGAGAGAGAGAGAGAAAGAGAGAGAGATTGGAGGGAGTGAGCTGTGGCAGCCTGATGGTGGTCTACACACGCCTCCCATCCTCTTTTTCATTCCCCAAGTCTCTGAATCTGCCCGGGCCTGGGGGAAGCCAGGAGAGGAGCGTGGAATTCAGTCGGCATGTCCCGGATAGTAAGGGACGCAGCCACCTGAGCCACCACGTGCAGTTTCCGAGAGTGCCGCTGGGAGGAAGGTGCATGCAGGAGTGGAGCTGGGGCTAGAGCTCTGTGCTGTGCGACGTAACCAGCAGATGCACCTTGTCTTGCTCTAGTCACTAATGCCAGAGTAAGAGATCATTCCCCAGCTACACTATTCATAAGACGTAGAGAAGTTGCCCAATTCGCGTTGGTTTCACATTCCCGTGAGTGAAACAGGCTGGTGTGGTGGGTGGGGTGTTGAACTGGAGATAAATGGATGTGCTTGGTGACGCTTCCAGCACGCTGTTCCATAAATAGCTACAGCAATTCACCAAACAAGGAAGAGATTAGAGAATCAAGTCATGATGGCAAGGGAAGTGACTCGGTACAAATACAGACACGGTGCACAGGAAAACACAAGCGCTCTTCAGTGCGTCTGCAGAGCCTGACTTAAAAGCGAGGTTCATCTGGGTGCAAAAATCCACGCGTAGCTGCTTTCCAAAATCTATATTTTTCGTAATTTTTTAAAGATTCCCTTGTTTACCTGGGAATCTACAAATTGTTTTTATAGAAAAATAAGCTTTTAATCTCCTTTCCATGAACTTCTTAAAATATCCTTGCAACCGCCAGGTGACAACATGTCGCCCAAATGGATTCTTCCCTGGGGTTCCTTCTGTCACAGAGTTCTCAGTGGTGGAGGAGACAGCCGCAGGGAAGCTTTGTCCGCCTAGCTGGACTTGGAGGAAATATTATTTTAAAATGCAGTTGACTCTGGTAGCTGAATGTTTCAGTCCACTTGGGGCCTGGTGCAGTAGCTTCATTGGCTAATCCTTCCCTTGCAAGCACCGGGATCCCATGTGGGCACTGGTTCATGTCCTGGCTGCTCCAGTTCCCATCCAGCTCCTTGCTTATGGTCTGGGAAAGCAGAGGAGGACGGCCCCAAAACTTTGGGCTCTTAGTACCCATGTGGGAGTCCCAGAAGAGGCTCTTGGCTCCTGACTTTGAATTAGCTCAGCGCTGGCTGTTACTGCACTTGGGGAGTGAACCAGCGGATGAGAGATCTTTCTCTTTGTCTCTCAAGCTCCGTGTAAATCTGCCTTTCCAATAAAAATAAAGAAAACTTAAAAAAAAAAAAAGACTGAGTTAATTCATCAGACAGCCAGGAACAGAAGTCATTTGGAAAGCCAAGTTAAGTCACAGTTAATTTTTCCCAGCTTTTTCTTCTGTTAATTTTCAAAAATCCTAAAGACAAGCTTTGGTGATCACTTTTCAAATCTTGCCTGGGGTGGATGTCTTGGTCAGATGCTCCTTGGGACACCCATGTGCCATAGCTGAGTGCCCCTGGGTTTTGAGGGAACAGGTGATGACGCAATGATTGGAACTCTGCTACCCCCATGGGTGCCCCAGGTGCAGTTCTGGGGTCCCGGCTTCAACCTGACCCAGCTCAGCTGCCGCAGCCTTTGAGAGTGAACTGGAGGAAGGATGATCGCTGCCTCTCTGATTTTAGAAGAAGCAAGTACAATTTAAAAAAATTGAGAAGTCAGCATATAGCTTAGTGGGTTAAGCCCATGCAACGTTAGCATCCTATGTTGCCAGTTCAAGTCCCAGCCGCTCCAGTTCTGATCCAGCTCCCCTGCTGATGGCCTGGAAAGCAGGGGCAGATGACCCAAGCCTCTGGGCCCCAGCACCCATGGGGCAGACTCCGAAGAAGCTCGGGCCTCCTGGCTCTGGCCTGGCCCAGCCCTGACTGTTGGAGAGTGAACCAGTGGATGGAGAATCAACCTCTCTCTCTCTTTCTCTCAGCTAATGACATTCCCCCTAGATAAAAATACTCTTACCTTAATCTCTTCTTTTTTATTTTTATTTATTTTTATTACAAAGTCAGATATACAGAGAGGAGGAGAGAAAGAGGGGAAGATCTTCCGTCTTATGATTCTCTCCCCAAGTGAGCACAATAGCCGGTATTGCGCCGATCCAAAGCCAGGAACCAGGAACCTTTTCTGGGTTTAGGGTCCCAAAGCTTTGGGCCATCCTCAACTGCTTTCCCAGGCCACAAGCAGGGAGCTGGATGGGAAGTGGAGCTGCGGGAATTAGAACCGACGCCCATATGGGATCCCGGCGCATTCAAGACAAGGACTTTAGCCGTTAGGCCATGCCGCCAGGCCCTCTTACCTTAATCTCAAAAAACTTAGGCCGGGGGGGGGGGGGGGGGCGGGAAGGGAGGTAGGCTTTTGTTTTGGCTCCACGGGAAGCGTTAGAGGGCCCGGCATGCCTGAGCCCTCATCATAGGACATGCTTTGGGATAGATCTGCTCTGGATGTAGGTACATGTGAAAGTGAAGAGAGGACTTGCAGCGCGTAGTGGGGGTGCGGATGTAAGTGCAGGTGGTCTAAGACCTGTGGCAGTGGCCTACAGCGGCCACGGGTCAGCGTTGAACTGTGGGAGGCAAGAGCTCACGCCTACCTGGTTGCGAAGGTGCCCAAAGTCCAGCGAAAAGGACGTGGCGCTGTCCCGCCGCTTGACCACGTAGCACAGGTAAGTCTCGTGCCGTCCCCTGGCCCAGCGGACGTTTTTGAAGTGGTAAAGAAACTTCTTCTGCTTCATCCAGAGGCTGCAGGCAGGAGAGACAACAAACATGGGCGGGCCGGCCATTCTCTCGTCCTTCCCGGCTCTCCTTCCGCTGCCCCGGCTTCAGTTACACCGGAGAACGCGTTCTTGATACCTGTGCTGGGTGCGAGACCTTCTGAACCTGAAATCTGCCGCACATTTCTCCTGCTTCTATTTAAGACCAACACTGGGGGACATCCAGGAGGAACCCCCCCTGCCCTGTCTTCTAAATGCTGAAGACTTGGAATGACAAACACATTCCACGTTGTGAGCGCAGGGGCCCAAGGACGCGGGCCACCCTCTGCTGCTTTTCCAGGCCATTTCCAGGGAACTGGATTGGAAGGGGAGCGGCTGGGACATGAATGGTGCCCATGTGGGAGACCGGCACCGCAGCAGAGTCTTAATGTGTTATACCACAGCTTTGGCCCACTCGGGCGGCGTTCTCGCACTAACAACAACCGCTTTCCTGTTTGTCAATGGCTGGCATCTCTGATATCCCAGTTAGATTCTCTGTGCTTGGGGGGCGGGGGTAGCAGAAAACAGAGTTTTATAAATGTGCTTTTCATGTGTCGTTATTGTCAAATGTGAATGCCACAGAAAAACGCAAAGTTTTGATTTTGAAGTATTAACTAATCTTTTTGTTGGGACTGGCATTTGGCGTAGCAGTTCAGCTGCCTGTTGGACCACTTGAATCCCATATTAGAATACTGGTTCAGGTCCTGGTTTCTTGGCTTTTGATCCAGCCTCTGCTGGCGTTTCTGGAAAGGCAGTGGAAGACGGCCCAAGTACTTGCACCCCAGCCGCCCCGATGGAGGAGCTGGCTTCAGCCTGACCCAGGAGTGAACCAGCAAATGCAAGCATGGGTCTGTCTCTCCCGCTCTGTCACACTTTTCAGTAAATAAATAACTGTTTTTAAAACTGTATGTTTTCCCTAGTTTTTCGCATACCTGTTGCGTGCTTTGGATTATGCTAACTTTGTGTGTAAATGTGGACTGCGCCCCATGCCAAGCTCAGTACTATCAATATTTTGACATATGTTTTGCAAGCAGAACTGATTGCGTCTTTTTGTTTTCAAGATCTCAGTGGTGTCATTCATGTCTTATAAATTGAATTGAACGCTTGGGAATACGCTCAAGTAACCCAGACGTCTTCCCAGAAATTAAGAGCTGCGGTTACAGCTGAGGACACAGTAACAAACTGTGCAGCGTGTCTTCAAGCTGAAGTGGGATCTGGAGGTTAACCCTCGTCCTTTCCACAAATACTGTTTTTTCCAATTTGTGGCGGCAGTGCCGCCACCTACTGGTCATAATCAGACGTTCAGAGGACTTGGAAAGTAAAGGCCTTGGCAAGAATTTGAATACCGTTTGCTGGCAGAATTGAAACCTTTTTCACCTTCTCTCTCTCTCTCTCTCTCTCTCTCTCTCTTTTTAAAATACTGAGGTTTAATTTGCATATGGCAAACTTCATTGATTTAGAACATGCGATTGCATGAATGCTGGCATACACAAACATCCTGCAACGTTCCGGCCAGCTGGGTGCAGGGCACTCATCCCCGCCCCCCACTCGCCGGATCTTCACCACCCAGGGCCTCTAGTGCTGCCCCCTCCACCTGGGAACGTTGATTGGCTCTCTGCAACGTGACTTTTCCTGTTCTAGAATGCGACAGACATCCCACAAGGTCTCCTCCTCCTGTCAGACCTCCTGGATTTGGCAAGGACAGACACTCAGCCAGGCCTCTGCAGCCCAGTCCTTCGTCCTGCCGCGCATGCCCTGCTGCCACTGCACAGCGCGCTGGACTCACCCGCTGTGAACATTTGAACAGGTCCACTTTGGGGCTATCGTGTACAAAGGTACTATGAAATTAGAGCATGGGCTGATTTTGATACAAAAAAAAAAACCTTGAAATCTATGCATATTTTTTCCTAATGCACATTTTCCATGAATTTTGTGAAAATGCTGTATAGTCCAAGAAGCCACATTTTGCTGATGTAATGGTCTCTAAAAGTTAACGACCATGCGGGCCAGCATTGTGGCCAGCAGGTCATGCCGCTGCCTGCACCACCAGCATCCTGTACAAGCACTGGTGTGTATCAGCTGCTCCACTTCTCATCCAGTTTCCCACTTACGGCCTGGGAAGAACAGCAGCACATGAGCCAAGTGCTTGCATCCCTGGTACCCACACGGGAGATGAGAGAAGTTTGCGGCTTCAACCTGGCCCATTGCTGGCCATTGTGGGTGACTGGGGGGCATGAACCAGTGAAAGGAAGATCTCTTCCCCACACCGCTCCACCCCTCATATGTGTCTGTGTCTCCCTCTCTCTCTCCGTAACTCTGACTTACAAAAATTCAAAATAAATCTTAAAAGTTAACTATTGTGGGACCTGGCGCGGTAGCATAGTGGTTAAAGTCCTCGCCTTAAACATGCCGGGATCCCATATGGGCACCAGTTCTAATTCCAGCGGCTCCACTTCCCATTCAGCTCCCTGCTTGTGACCTGGGAAAGCAGAGGACGGTCCAAAGCCTTGCTTGGGACCCTGCACCTGCATGGGAGACCTAGAAGAGGCTCCTGGTCCTGACTTCAGATTGGCTCACTTGAGGCCACTTGGGATGTGAATCAGCACACAGAAGATCTTTCTCTCTGTGTGTCTCTCCTCCTGTATGTAGATCTGACTTTCCAATTAAAAAAAATAATAATAAAAATAAAATCTGTTAACTATGGTGGGCAGCATAGCAGTGCAGTGGATGAAGCTGCCACTTGCTGTGCTGGCATCCCATATCGGAGCATTGCTGCTGCTCCGGCTTTTGGCCTCCTTCCAGACCTCATCCTCGCCAGCGCCCCTTGGGAAGGCAGCAGAGGATGGCTTCACTGCTCAGCCATGGGCCAGCCACGAGGGAGCAAGGGACTTCCTTCTTCCTGGCCCCCCCTGCGCCCCTCCCAGCTTCCCTGGCTGGCGCAGCCATTTGCAGAGTGAACCAGCAGCTGGGGAGTTGTCTCGGTCTCTCGGTCACTCTGCCTTTCAGATAAATACATCTTTTCTAAAAATCTAAAGATAAATAAGTTAGCTAAAAATGATCAGCCTTATCAAGTGCCTTAGCTAGGACGACAGCGCATTCCAGCTGTTTCTATGTCTCCCTCTGCACACATGAAAAGCGCCTTGAGGCCAAGAATTAGATTTTCACTGTATACATGTTAGCTATATCGGAAGATAGGGGAATTAGTCAACCGTGTTACTTTTAAAACTAAAATGTATAACTGACAGGAATCCCAAGTAGCTACTTAGCAATTCCCAGGAATTATTGATTTTATTTATAATTGGTAATGATTTGTTATTCAGCCACTGTAATAGCGCATAGCCTATAGGAGAATATTTCAAAAAGCTTATGGAAATTAGCATGGGATAAGCCTACTTTGGTGCAAAAAAAAAAAAAAAACTTTAAAATCCACGCAGATGAGCAGTCTTTAACGAGTTCATGCCCGCCTGTAATGAATAAGACTGGTCCCAGATATCAACACATTTTACAGGAAGTAAATATATCTCTTAATTTCATTTTCCATGAAAATGGAATTTTTTTTTGAAGCACCATCACATCAGCCCAGCCTGAGAGATGTTTAATTTTAATACAGAAAGCAAACAAACAAACAAACAACCCTCTCTTTGTGGCCCAGTCAGGTTTAAACACAGTTAACCCACCGTGCCGGTCTGTGCAGACGATGAGGCCAAGGAAGGCATTATTGTAGTTTTTTTCTCTGGATTAGGGAAAGGGGAGGAGGAATGGCTGTCTGGTCATTCTGGGACAGGCACGTGTTCCCGGGAATAGACAAGGGGATGATGACACAGGCAGAGAATTCATGTGCGCTGTTGTGTGCAAGTCGGTGGGAACGTTAGCCGAGCTCTCCCGTTGGCTGCCGCGAGCCGCCACTTGGAGTGCAGGCGGCTGCGTGCTTGTGCCCACTCCTCATCTCCTCCAGCTGTAGCCGGGCCCCCCACCCCCGTCTCCGACACCCTGTTCTGGCTGCCCGGGCAGGCTTTTCTGGCCTGCGTGTTGACAGCTGCGCTGGACAGCTGTGCCTCCCGAGGCAGAACCTTGGTTGCGTCCCCAAGCATCACCACGCAGAAGTAATGGGTTAAAAATAAACCCACGAGGGCCATCATCTGTGCCCTCGGCTCAGGAGCTCTGCTGGCACCGCCTTCCTCAACCCCGAAGGCCCTTTTCCTCCCGTTGGACTGCATCCCTGCCACCTGCTCTTTCTCTGAATTTCAGCCACTGCCTTGCCTTTCGCGCTGCAGACTGTCCTCGGAGCCATTTCCATGGGCCCCTCTCTGGGCCCAAAACCAGGGTATTCAGGAAGTTCATAGAAAATGAAGTTAATCGTTAAGTTGACTTTCATGCAACTTTTTTTTTTTTTTTTAATTTTTGCACAGGATGCAGTCTCCAAAAAGGTTTTGGGAGAATGTACACTTACGAAAAATTGCCTGGATTTAGTTTTCAAGATCTCACTGTCAGCTGAGGAGACATTGGACAACTTTCTGTTTCCAAGAGGAATTTTCTTAAGGGTATTTCATCTGCTCTGAAAAATCTTCACTCTGTACTCTAAATTCTTTGTAAAAGTACATGCTCGTCGCCTGTCAATAGCAATCATGCAAGGAGCCATCGAGTACGGGCTGTGATAATAAGGGACCACAAACAGCACTTGAAAATGATTTGAATACTGTACAGTGTCCCCATTTAGGAAGTGACTAAGTCATATCTGAACAAGTGAAAAGATTGATTATACAGAAAAAAGTCACTAACTTCCTAACATAGATCTGTCCCATTAAGCAACTTACCTGAGTGAAACTTTCTCTTTATAATCAACATAATCGTAATGACTTTCAAGCACTTAATTTAAAAATTCTGATGTTCTTTTAAAAAGTACACAGCTCCATACTATGGCTGCATTGTTGCAATGCCTCTCCTAGGAAAGTTTTGGCTACAAGAAAATATTTACAAAATCATGATGAAAATTGCCACTCTTGATTTTAGTCTGTTATTGCTATGACCATCTCCTGGTTTGAGTCCCTAAGGCTTAGGTCTGGTCACCTGGTGACCATAAACTGAGTCTGACTGTGGCAGCAATTTCAGGGCAAGTCAGTACATGATGACTTTGTTACCAGCAAGGCATGGAACAGAAGTAGGCTGAGAACACAAGAAAGCTATACAGGAGACATAAAGAATCAGATCCAGACAAAAACAAATTTGGCCACAGATCCAGCAGATGCTGTGAGTAGAGAGAGACAGGAGAGAGGGGCAGCCACCCTCCTGGACTCAGATCTGCAGAGACGAAAAGACAGTGCAGCCACCCGCGAAGACGCTGCCCCAGTACCTGAAGGGCTCCTCCACGGCTGCCATCGCTGCTCTTGGGAGTCTTCTAGAACAAGGGAATCTTGCCTCAAGCCGCACTGTGCTGTTGCCTTGGTCTGACAGTGCACTGGTCCCTGACATTCAAATTTCAACTTGCCCTTCTGGGCTCCTCCCCCAGCAGCATCGTCACCATCAGGGACCCCAACAGCCTTCCTCCCCGATTGGGTCCAGTGAAGGTGGGTGCGGCTGTCATGGGCAGGGGCGCTGGATGCCTAGCTTCTTTCAGGGTTGTAACTCTGAAGATCCAGGCTGCGATCCACAGAAACCCATGTGGGGGACCCAGAAGAAGCTTCTGATCCTTGGCTTCCGACCAGCACAGCTGTGGCTGTTGTGGCCGTCTGAGGAGTGAGCCAGCAGTTAGAAGACCTGCCTCCCTGCCTTTCCTTCTTAACTTTGTCAATTAAAATAAGTAAATTTTAAATAGAAAATGTTCAAAAAAGAATCATTTGTGCATATTGATTTCTTTCCTTTTCATAAACTATATTTGAGGTGGGGCTGGCAAATTCCAAACGCAACATATTCATTATGTATTTTGTTTGTTTGTTGTGAGAGCTCCCTCTGTCTTGAAACGCTTGCTTTTCAGTGCACATACAGTATTAATAAAATTCCCCCCCCCTCCAGCTTACACAGATCCGTGAGAGTCCGGTGAGAAATCGCTCGTCTGCTGGTTCTTTAGCAAATGTCCATAACAGAGTTGAGCCAGGTGAAAGCAGCATTCCCGGGGGAGGGGCGGGGGGGAGCAGAGATCAAGCACGGGAGCTGTTTCGTCTGTTGCCTCCCAAGGGGCACACTGACAAGAAGCTGGACTTGGAAGTGGAGCCAGCACTCAAACCCAGGCACTCGGGTGAGGTGCAGGTGCCGCCGCGCCCCACACTGGCCCTGCACTGCATACATTTTAAAGGTGAAATATAGATTCCACCAGTGCAGGTGGAGGCTGATGTGGGTGACAGACTGAGCCAGACTCCACACTGGCTGTCACACATAGAAGTCAGGTCTGGGGTGACCTCTGGTGAGGTTTTATTGGGAACCCCCACTCCGGGGGACCACTGGACTCAGAACTGCCACCCAGGTGAGAGTCACAGGACTGTCTCAGCTCCTGCATGCGAATGTGGAAGCCTGGCGCTGTCACGCACCACATCTGCCTGCTGGGATCTCTCGTCCTGCTCCCAGGTGATGGACACAGCACGAGCCAGAGCAGAGCAGTAAGGATTTGCTTTGTTTCCACAAAAAGGAGCAGTCTGGTTGATTTGAGTGATGGTTCGCGGCTAAGCAATGAGGACAGATAAAATGGAGATGTCGCTTCAATCTTATATAAGCATCTGGAGGATGCTGAGACATGACTGTACAGAAAAGACTTCACTTCTTAGGAAACCACCCTCCCTCTCTACCCTTCTTTTTCTAAAGGACAGAAAGGATTCTCAGAGTGACCAAAGCACTTTTCAATTCCTGGGGGGATTTGGAGCTCCTGAGATTAGAAAGCAACTGCGTAGCGATTGTAGCAAGCGAGTGTCACTTTCCTTTCTGCCTGCCCTCTTTCCTCACCAGCTTCTATTGAAAAACCACAGCTCAGCCTGGTGCGTTGATGTTTCACAAAAACAACGTGACTTGGAAAGCGGGCTGCTGGCGGACACCTGGACTCGCACCACTTCATCACCACGAAAAACCCAAGGTGAAGTTTCGTTCTGGTCAGCGTGTGGGGCCGAGTTCTCCCTGGGAAGTCTCAGGGCGTGCGCTGCTGAGAGCCGCGGTGGGGAGACAGTGATCCCGCAGGCTGCTATTTTGAGCCGCCCAGGGGATTGTTCAATACGATACTTGGTTGTTTTTAAAAGAACCCTAAAAGGGGTGAGCGTGGGTAACACTGTGGGTTTTGGAGTGCTGCAACTTCTGCATTCCACCATTTTTGTTTTTCTCAGTTCACTGCTAGCCCCCATCACTGAATTCTTCTGGGGTGTGAAGAGGTGGAGGAATAGGTTTGACACACAGACAGGAATTACTCACTCAACTCCTGCAGGGCAGCACCTGCCCAGGACTCTTCGAGGATGAGAGAACAGTAAACAAGCGCTTATCAAAAGCCCAGAACTAGACCAGGAACTAAAGCAGCAAGAATTATTTTTGGTGGGAAAAAAAAATGAACTTCCTATATTTTATGCATATGTGATCAAGCACATAAAAAGATGGCATGAGTGATGGGAACGGGTTATACAATCAGTGTACATCTTTTTATTTCATTTCACTTGGCGTGAAGGGTGGAGGAACAGACACAGGCATTGCTCATTGGATTACTCTCACATACCTGCAGCAGGCACAGCTGGGTTAGGCCGAACTCGGGATCTTCCTCGCAGCGGGCAGGAACCCAAGAACTCGAGGTGCTGTCGGCTGCCTCCCAGCGTGTGCATCCCAAGAAGCTGGATCAGAAGCAGAACGTAGCCTGGAACCCAGAGCCGTGTGGGTGTCCCAAGCGGCTACCCCGCTGCTGCGCCCAGCGCTCCCCGCCCCGCGCGTGCAGGATTGTGCTTTGTGCCTTCTCTGTTGTCCTCCTCCGCGTGCCTTTGCATTATTTGACATTGTGTTAACTGTTTCTCTGTGCATAACAGGTGAACGAATAACAATACTGATAACAGCTAACTTCTCTTGTAAATGTACTTTGTGGCAAGGTTCTGTGTTAGGCACACTGCACGTATTATCTCATTTAAGCCTACGAGATGGGACCTGCTGTTATTTCTGTTTTCAGACATGAACACTGGGGCTCAGCAAATGGAAAAAAGACTCTCTTGCTGAAGAGTTAGCAATAACATAAACAATATCTTGGGATAGCTGATGTATTTAAAAGACAAGGTGATTCAAGAATACAAACTGTAGGGCCCTGTGTGATAGCCTAGCAGCTAAAGTCCTCACTTTGAACGTGCCAGGATCCAATATGGGCACTGGTTCTAATCCTAGCAGCCCCACTTCCCTTCCACCTTCCTGCTTATGACTTGCATGGGAGACCCAGAAGAGGCTCCTGGCTCCTGGCTTCGGATTGGCACAGGTACAGCCGTTGCGCTCACTTGGAGAGTGAATCATCAGATGGAAGATTTTCCTCTCTGTCTCTCCTCCTCTCCATATATCTGACTTTCCAATAAAAAAAATAAAATAAAATCTTACAGAAAAAAAGAATATAAACTATGACTATCACAAAGTTCTTGGGGGAGAGGGGTAGATGTTTAGACAAGTGAGTTAAGACACCCACGTTTGGAGTGCCTGGGTTCAAGGCTGTCTCCAGTTTCAAAGCAGATCACGGGAGGAGAGGGCTCAGATGATGGGGTTCTTGCTAGCACCCCGCTCCCGCCCTCGCCCAGCGCATGCTCTGGCTCCTGCGGCCCTGGAGGAGTGAACTAGCAAATGCGAAGTTTTTGCGAAGGAGAAAGGACAGAGGAAAGGAAAGAGAAAGGGACAAAGAAGAACTGAGATTTTCATCTGCTGGTTCACTCCCCAGCTGCCCTCGCTGACCAGGACCGTGTCAGGCAGCAGCTTGGCTCTGAGAGCTGAATCCTGGGCTCCCTGGGAGGGGGGGTGGATCAGACACACTGTGTGAGCACGTAGTATGCACTTTCAGGAAGCTGGGACTTGGAGCAGAGCCTGATCTTGAACCCAGGGACTCAGATGCAGGGTGTGGGCATCTGAAGGGTTTCCTAGCAGGTGTTTCACTGTTAGTTCATGCGACACCCCTTGTAGGACTGCGTTTTGGATGAGTATTCTGAAAAACCCCAAGTGGGTGGTCTGTTTAAAGTTAAGTTTGGGTAACTATGGAGACCAGAGATCGTCAAAGATTCTCAGATCCAAGTTCTGTGAGTCTGTGGCTTGATGTCCTTGCAGGCACCGGGTTGGGTCGCCCTGCTTTAGGCAGCCTGGGAACCACACGAGCAGCCTCTCCTCCTTGGTTTGCTTTTTCAGAACCTGTGCTGGTTCTCCTTTGGCTTTCTTTTCTTTTCTTTTTAAAAGAGATTTATTTAATTGGAAAGGCAGATTTACAAACAGAAGGAGAGACTGAGATAAAGATCTTCCATTCTCTGCTTCACTTTCCAAGTGGCTATAACAGCCAGAGCTGAGCCGATCTGAAGCCAGGAGCCAGGAGCCTCTTCCAGGTCTCCCACACAGGTACAGGGTCCCAAGGACTTGGACTGTCCTCAACCGCTTTCCCAGGGCACAAGCAGGGAGCTGGATGGGAAGCAGAGCTGCCAGAATTAGAACTGGGGCCCATATGAGATTCTGACACATGCAAGACAAGATTTTAACCACTGAGCTGTCATACTGGGCTCTGGTCATTGCTGCTCTCTGTCTTTTTTTTTTTTTTCCTAAGATTTATTTTATTTTTATTGGAAAGTCAGATATACTGAGAGGAAGAGAAATAGAGAGGAAGATCTTCCATCCATTGATTCACTCCCCAAGTAGCTGCTACAGCCAGAGCTGCACTAATACTAAGCCAGGAGCCAGGAGCTTCTTCCGGCTCTCCCACGCGGGTGCAGGGTCCCAAGGCTTTGAGCCGTCCTCAACTGCTTACCCAGGCCACAGACAGGGAGCTGGATGGGAAGTGGAGCTGCCGGGGTTAGAACTGGCGCCCATATGGGATCCCGGGGTGTGCAAGGCGAGGACTTCGGCCACTATGCTACCATGCCGTGCCCATTGTTTCTCTTTTATAATGTTTAGATGCTACTACATCAACTCGTAATCCTTATTGATTTGTTTACATGCAGAATCCTTGAGGGAACCAGCACTGCGGCACGGTCAGTTACGCATCCCTTAGGGATGCCAGTTCCAGTCCCTGCTAATGATCTTGAGAATTCATCCCCCACCCGTGCAGTGTACCCTTGCAGGAGACCTGGATGAGTTTCAGATTCCAGGCTTTGGCTTGCTTCACCCAGGGGCCTTTGAGTCATCCGGGGTCTCTCTCTCTCTGCACCTCTCTCCTTTTCTTTGTAACTGTCTCTTAAATGCCTGTATTTCATACCAAAGTGCCTGGGATAGAGTCCTGGCTCTTGCCCGTGTATGCCATGGGAGGCAGCGGAC